CCACCACCCCACCTACAACAACCAATCAACCAACACCAAAAAACGCTTAGACAGCCAAAAAAAAAAAAAAGGAATATTTAAATGCAAAATGCAAATAGATTTGCGCACAGAAAAAAAGCTTTAGCGTGCATTCAACAACAACAACAACAACAACAACAAAATGGTATGGTCCATGCCAAAAAATCTAAAACCCTGCAGAAAACAATCAGAATCACAGAAACAGAAACAGCAACACAGCAGCAGGGACCAACAGCATTGGGATAGGCAATAGAAATCTTTAAAGCTTTGGGGTGGGAGGTTTACACAAAGAGAAACTTGATTGTGACATTCTGAAAATTCTGTAGTCTAGTATGCCAAAGAGTGATGATGGTATGATATATAATTGGGGTGTAAAAGATGGTGAAACATACCGAAAGCTTTCATCAAACTTTTAGGAACCCATTAAAGTACAAGAAGAACGATTAAATATGCTTCAACCCTAACGGAACAGACTGGCAGGTGCTTCAGGAGTCATGCAACCCTTTTAAGTAACTGCTAGGCTTTGAAATTGTCTTAAATTAAATGAAATTCATATATACGTAATTGCTTAAAACCAAAAGATAGTCTCAAAGTTATTCAACTACTGCACAAGTTACTTCTCAGACGAGCTTGAGGGTATGCTTACTTTCAAAATACTTAACAATTATCTAGAAATAATTTTAATGTTGAATACCCCTGCAGCAACATATTCAAGCCACATTGAGCAGGGGAGCAGCATTCAATTGGAACCTCAAATGCTGCCTATTAAGAGGGATCTAAATCTAAAGATCTGTCAGTCTCGCTCTCGCCCCCTCTCACTTTCAGTCTTCCCTTCGCAATCCTCATACGATTAGCTGCAAATTTTTGTACGAAATGAATTACATTTTCGATTAAACACAGCAAATCAATAGACCACCAAATTGAGTGAAGGGTCTGTAGGGGGGATAACAGGATGAAGAGCAATAAAAACCCAAAAAAACAAACAAAAAAAAAAAACACCATACAAAATGGCAACCACAACATCAACGCGAAATGTGTCGCATATGGGCGCTGTGACCAGGCTGTGAATAAGTAAATATAGACCGCATTTGTGGGTGCTTACGGATATGGATATACGGGACTACAAGTACGAGTATGTGTGTGTGTGTGTGTGTGAGTGAGTGTTTGACTATTTTAAAATGTGACCAACTGACGAGGCGGGGAGGAATGGGATGAATTTAATTAAAACGTTGACCAACACACCAGTTGACGTTGACGTTGGTCGCTTCACTGTTGCTGTTGTTTTTGTTGTTCGTTTGCATGTGCAACTGTGCGTATGAGTGACATTAATGCGAACATTGAGGCCTGCCAGGAGAAGGAGAACGGAGGCCAAAGGCAAAGGACGCCAACGCATGTTGTGCGTGTGCGGAGGTCCCTTCTCTCTCTCTCTCTCTCTCTCTTTAGGTGTCCTCCCTTCTCTGTCCCTCTAGGTGTTTGTTTGTGTGTCTCCTGTGTGTGTGTGTGTTTGTCGTAGTCCCTGCTGCTTCTAGGTGTGTGTGTGCTCTATGTTTGTTTTTGTGGTTGTTTGTGTGTGCTATTTATGCGCCTGCGTCTGTCTGTGTTGGTGGGTGTATGTGTGTGTGCGTTGGTTTAAAAATAGCACAAGCTACTGATGCTCCCTCCTGCTCCTGCTCCTGCTCCTGCTGCTGCTCCCTTTGCTCCCTGCTTCCTACTTCCACTGCTGCTCCCTCTGCTGCCGATGATGATGATGATTTTAGTGTCCTTTTGCCAGCCCAACGCCCATTACACCTACATACCCACCTCGACCCACACTCCTACGCTCTGACCCCCTCCCACTCCCCTCCCTTTGCCTGTCAGGCAAAAACTGGCTTGAATTTATGGCCAAAAATATAAAGCAGGAAGCAAGCAAACACACACACACACCCACCCCACACACCAATGTAAACTTAGTTTGATTTTTCGTCTGCGTTTTGTGTTGGTGTTTGTTGTAATTATTTTGCGATTGCACAATGCACGATGACTGTGCAGAGATTGGGAAAAGATAACACCAACAACAATAGAGACACCAACAACAAACACAACAGCGACACCAATAAAATCACCAACAGAAACAGCAATGAAGCAAATAGCAAACACCAACAGTAAAAACAACTAACAAAAAAAATACCAACAGCAACAGCTAAACCTACACCAACACTAACACCAATTACAACAACACAAACAACAATAACAATTACAACAACACCAACGCGGAGCATAGGCGTCGGGCACAACAACAATAGAAAAGGTCGCCAAGGGACAGAAATGACCGTGTTTTTGTATACTTTATTGATTTTTGCTTTCTCCTTTTCTTAGTCTGCGCCTTTGCACACACCCACCCCAACCCATTGTCGCCTCTTGCTGCCCATCTACCTCGAACAGCCCCCTCACCTCTTCAGTGTAGGGTCTCGCCTGCAATTGTGCGTGTGGTTTGCCTGCCACTCGCTTCCCAAAATAATTTACTTTACTTTTGTTTTGTTTTATTTTCTTACCTTCTTTTGTTTACATTGCTGTTGCTTTTGTTGCTTGTACATACATATATACATATGTATGTAATTTTTGGTGTAGTTTCTTTTTTTCTGTTTTGTTGTTGGCCATTATGCGCACAATAAACGTTTTGTATCGTGACCAAAGTCAAATGAAAGTATGCCAGGGGTATGGCCCACAAACACGAGTGTATGTACGTGTGTGAATATCTCTCTCTGTGTATGTGTGTGTGTCGGAAAACTAGTTCTTTTTTTGCACCCAAGGCGATTGTCTGAGTGGAGGTTTCGCTTTCGTATGCGTGTGTGTGTGTGTGTAAGCATTTGTTTTTAAAGAAATTGTGGCAAATGCGTTGCCTACTTTTCAGGGGCAGAAAAATTAAATACGACATTTTTGTTAATTGTAAAAATTGTATCAAATTTTTGTAAAAAAAATAAGAAGCTGCTTTTAGCTTTTGGGACACCCCAAACACAATCATTTAGTAAACTAGTTCACCCAGAAGCAATCACTTAGTGAACTAGTTGCAGACAAGAACCAACACCGACACACAAAGTCCTTATCGTAAATTAGCATTAGAAATATATAAGTAAGCTCCATATTAAGCTAAATTTAGTGAGTTCCCCTTCAGAACTAGTTCAAGGTTCACCTGAAGGACAAGCTCATTTATTGCTCATATTTTGAACTAGTTTAAGTATTTAAACGCTAGTTTAAGTCTACTTAAATCACTTTTACCAATCGTAATTCTTTTTTGTGTGCTATTTTTTTCATATGTGTGTTCTCCACTCTTTCTCTCTCTCTCTCCCCCTCTCTCTCTTACTCTCTGAACTGTCCCTCAACCAAAAATCTTGCCCGCCACAAAAACCACTATACTATTATGCAAACAAAAATATTCCCATTCCCCTTTCTAAATGTACAAAAATTTCAAATGAAAAACAATCAAAAATTATACTAAAAAAACCACAACCAAATAGCAGGTAATTTTGGCGGCGTTCAAGGTGTCCAAAAAGTTCTCTCGCCCGGCGATCTACAGATTCATGCAAATGTAAGCAAAAAAGAAAAATTTCTAAAGAAAACCAAAAAAAAAAACAAAAAAATTAAATTTGAATGTGTGTGTGTGTCTCTTGTTTATATATTTATATTTATTTCTTATAAGTTGAATCAATGTCCACAAAAAAAAAAAAAACAAAACAAAAAAAAAATACCGAATTCAAGGAATGTATACTGTTTGTTTCCGTATATGTTGTTTACTTTTACCAAGCACTGTCGTCTAAAAAAAATCCCACACACTTTCTCTCACCAATCTTCTACCCCGTCAACGCCCCAACACTCGCCCTAGAATTTTTTGAACTTGCAAAGCATTTGTTTTCCATGATTATTATTATAATATAATGATGATGATTATTCTCTGTGCTCTGTTCTCAATCATCACTTGATTTATATCTCTCTCTGTCTCTTGATTACTTACACTGTCCACACTCCACTGTCCACTTTCCACTCTCTTTCCACACACACAATCGTTTGGCTGTGAACACGTTAATTAAAGAGAATTTTTACTACCAATTCCAACACACTATTTGTATACGTTACGTTTTCTGCCTACGTTTTATTTATACTTTTTGACTTATTCTGTAAATGTGAAACCAAAAACCAAAAATGAAATTTCAAAAAACAAAAAAAAAAAGAATACTTGGAGAATAATTTGCATGGATATCGTAACGCTGTTTCCTGTTTTCTCCTTACTACAAAATACAAAAACAGAAATGACGCTGCTTAACACACACCACCACAACACACACGAACACAGTTTACACTGTCCAACCAAGTCATAGACGAAACATATAGGCCACCCTTGAGATACCCTTAAAAATAAACTTAATGCTCTTGCAACTTTTAGCCAACACAGATAAGTATTTGAAAGCCCCCCAACCTTTAAGCCAGGCACCCCAACCCTGAGTAATCTAGAGCACACAACCCGCAGATACCAGACCAAGCAAATCCTTGGCACTTGTAGCTCTAAATCGTAGGTCTACTTATGATATCCATATACTTACTTAGCTTACTCATACTAGTACATCTAACTAACTAAAACACTGAGAAAACATGCCACAGGATAAGTCTACTCGATCCACACCGCCCGCCCCCTACCCCCCACCGTTTACGTATTTATTTCGAATTAATATCGTACTTTTTTGCTTTATCAAACCATAATTTTCCAAGACAAGCAATCGATTAATATTTATTTTTAAACATATTTTAAACAATTCGAAAAGGACAACAAACTAATGCGCAGGCAAGCAGCGAAGTACCCCATAAAATCCAGAGCCCACAAATTCGTTTCTCTCTCTCTCTCTCTGTTTCCTCTGCAAATCAATTGTAGAATCCAAACCCCCGCCGCCCAAACCATTAGAGCAATCACCCCCTTGTACACCTCTACATCATCATCTACTACCATTCTACAGGCGGCCGTCTACAGGTGCGCACCTCAGTGGATCCCTGGCGCCAGCAGCGAAGCCTCAACGAGCGCGATCTACTGAGCAGCAGTGCCGGCGCCACTTCCAGTGACTACCGCCTGTTGGCGCACACCAGCCAGCGGCTGTACGCGTCGGCGGATCAGCGCGATCGCTACGAGCTGCAGCTGCAGCATCGCGAACGCTTGGAGCAGTATCCGTTGACCAGGACCGCACGGCTTGACGTGCAGCAGCGCAACTCGCTGAATCGCACCAATCACGAGCGACAGTTCGGCGTAGGCGGAGGCGGAACAACGACTGGCGGGGTGACTGGTGGTGCTGGCGCCTACCGACGTGCCCCGCCCTTGGCCGCAACCGGTGGCGGTGGTAGCAGCAGCAGCAGCACCAGCAGCAGCTACTATCCCCAGGGCCAGTCCAAGCCACAGATTGTGATCGGTTCGGGAGCCTATGATCGTGGTGGAGGCACCATGTCCGCTGATCAGAGCGGCGGCAGCTCGAGGGGCAGCCTGAGCAGAGAGCGGGCCCTGTTGGGAGCCAAAGGCTTGGGCGGTGGCGGTGGCAGCAGCTCTGTCAGCTCCACGGAGGCAGCCTACTGGGATGAGCCCGCCGGAGGCAGCACATCCTCCTCATCGGCGGCCCAGGATTCGCGCCGCTTCACCGAGCGCAGAATAAAGAAGACAGTGCGCTTCGATGCCCACGAGGATGAGGCCTCCATTATGGCCGGTGCCGGAATGATGGGCAGCGGATCATTGCCACCGGTGACCACCATTCTGCCCTCGACTGCGGTGGATGTGGGCTCGGCGACGCTATTGACCAGCGGCAAAATGGGCCAGGGACAGGGACCACCACCCATGGATGGGGCTAGTGCTGGGGACTGGGCACGATGGGAGGCCGAGCGGCAGGGCAGCCAGGATTCGGCTACCAAGGACTCGGGCATCGATACGAGCAGCACCTTCACCAGCAGCGAGGACTCAAACCGCGGTGACGGGCCCAAGGTACAACCCCCAAAAGAGGCAGATCCAAAAGGGGGACCAGAACCAAGAACCAAGAACCCCTCTCCGCATTGCATTGTGTTTGTGTAGAGTCTCTCTGAGTGTGTACTCTCTCTCTCTCCCCCCCCCCCAAAAATCTCTCTTTGCGTCTGTCTGTGTGTGGCCCAACGAAGAACCACGGCGAACCGAAGCGAAGCGAACGATCCAGCAACCTTTCTCTTTAACTTTCTCTCTGTTTGTTGTTCTTTGTCATGTCGCCCGTCCTGCCCCAAAACGCATTGTAGAGACGCCTTAGACTGAAACCCTCAATCCAGAATCCGTAATCCTTAAACCGTAATATCATTTTTGGTTTGTACACTCGCTCGCCCTCCCTCTCTCTCTCTCTGCGCTCTATTCTCCTTGTACTCTCTTGACAATTTTCAGCCACAGAAACAGAAAAAAATCCAAAAATCCAACAACAAAACAACAACATTTTTGCATGCATTTTTTGTGTATTTCTTGCATGGAAATCAAACTCCACTCTCTCTCTCTCTCAGCACACAGCAAAAGCCAGACTACCCTAACTTGCACGTACTGTACCCGTTTTTTGCATGAACTCTAAATGTTGTACCCGTTGACCAACACTGTTTTTTCACTGTAACCTTTAACCAATAATACAACCAATACGCTACACAACACTCCCCCCCGTAATGGGTGGGAGGAATGACTCTTGAAACGTGTGTGTTCTCAACCCAAAACAAAAACCAAAAAAAAATGTTAGGAACAAAACCAAACATGAATGATACTCGTAAATGTGCAAAACCGAACTATCTACTCGTATTTCTATCCTACATCTATGAGCTATGCCTAACTATTCGTAATTGAAAGTAGAAAATGTTTATTAGTATGTAAGAAAAAACTACAAACTACAACCAACGGGAATGAATGTAAAACGAAAAAAAAAAAAAAAAACAAAACAAAAACAAACTTTAAACTGTACAAAATGTTGCTTACTAATTGCTGTTATTTGTTTTTAATACGTTACCCAACTCTATGTGTAAGATTAACCAACTTAGCGTGTAAGTCTCTCTCTATCTGACTCGCTCGCTCTCTCTCTCTCTCTCTAAGAACTTTATGTATGGAACAAATTAATAACTAAAAATTAACCATTTACTACTACTACTTCCTGCATACTGATGGCGCGCCCACAAAAATAAAAAACGACACCCCATCCACGATATCCACCACCGAATTCACACACCGAACAACAACAAACAACAACAACCAAAAATCTATGCAAAATTGACATTGCACGATATATCATTCGTATAATCCGTATAATCACAATCCAACCACCCTGACCAACCACCAACCACCACCACTCCACCCACCACTGTGTTCACCATGTATCAATCGAATCGAATCGAATATCAAATCGATATATATAGAATCCGGTGAATTGGCAAACATCCGCGGATAATACTCGCTTGATTGGGCACATGATATTACGTAAATACTATGATGGGGAAGATATATTAGGCTTAAAGGTCAACGGCGGCCAGCCCATCGGAGGAGGAGGAGGAGGAGTGGGAATAGTAGGAGGAGGACCATTAGGAGCAGGTCCATGCGGTGCTATTGTGGAGAAGGTGAAACGCGGATCGGTGGCCGATCTAGAAGGCCGTATACGACCAGGTAACATTTGCCATTCCAACATTCAATCCATTCGATACTCACTCATACGACACTCTCTCTCTCTCTCTCTATCTGTTCTCTCTCTCTCTCTTTCTGTGTGTCTCTCTCTCTCTCTCGCTCTCTGTGTCGATCACACATCACACCATCACACCACCACATCAACAATCGAATGTCATCGATCGATTTGGATTCATCAGGCGACGAAATCATCGAGTGGAATGGCCGAAATTTGCACAACAAAAGCGCAGATGAGGTCTATGATATACTCGACGAGAGCCGCCTGGACGCGCAGGTGGAACTGATTGTCAGCCGTCCGATCAGTGGCAGTGGCGGCAGCAGTCAGAACGTCAGTCCCAGCAGTGCCTCCAACGCCCACATCAACAGCAGCAGTAGCAGCAGCAGCCAACCGACGGTTCGCCGCTCCTCGGCCAACTTTCCGCACAGCGGCCTGGCCAGCAGCATGGCTGGCAGTGCGGTGGTTAGCAGCGGCGGGCGATATCTACAGCGCAAAGGTACACAGAAAATTTCTCCATTTGTGTGTGTGTGTGTGTGGCTCTGTGCGTTTGAATGTGTGTGATAAAGAGAAAGCTTGGTGGGAAAAGTTCTGGCTTAAATTACACAACTAGTCCCTTGGGCTTGGGTCTCCTTTGAAGGTATACAAATACCCATTTCATTTGAAAGTATCCACACAATTCGAGCTTTATTGTCAGGGAAATAAATCAAACAGAAATAATTGTCTTTAGCAGCAGCAAAGAATTTTACGAATTAAAATATATTTCCCAAAGTCTTCGAGAAACTTTAATTACCATTAAAACGTATACCAAACTAACGACACAAAACCCGACTGAAACCGCAACAGCAATTCAAATTTAAACCAAACTTCAAGCCAATATTCAATCAAAGCCTAACCATATCTGCATTTATCTATGCCTTGTTGTAGCCCCAGCAGTTGAGGCCATTGAAATCCATCGTGATAAGCCGAGTGTTTTGATAACCTCACCCGGCTCGCCGGATATCCACGTAACTGCATCGGGATCGTCGGGCAACGGGGTACGGAGTCAACGTGGCGGCGCCTCGCAGCATATACAGCGCCTGGGACCCAGCCACAGCACTCACAGCCACAGCAGCAGTGGGAGTGGCAGCGTCAGCGGCAGCAGCACCACCAGCAGCGTACACGCAGCGTCCAGCAGCCTTCAAGGCGTCACCGTTGCCGCCGCCGTCGCCGCCGCCTCCGTGTCGAATTCTTCCTCCGCCCAAGGCGGAGGTCTGCACGGCACAACGACGGCGGGCCACCATCATCATCACCATTGCCACCAGCCATTGCCGCCCGCCGCCGCCCACTTGCATGGCATCCACGGTCCCCTGGGCATGGGTATGGGCAGTGGGGCGGGTACGACAACGCAACCGATACCGATCGAGGGGCGGCTGCAGCTGAAGCTCGGCTACGATCAGAACACACTCCAGCTGATTGTGACGCTGGTGTGTGCCACAGGCCTATCCCTGCGCCAGAGCGGAGCGGGCCGAAATCCCTATGCAAAAGTGAGTACAAGATTAAAATTAAAGTCCTGAGGTGTGATTTAATGTATTTCCATTGCCATTTTGCAAGGTGTTCCTTCTGCCCGATCGCAGCCACAAATCGAAGCGACGTACCAAGACGGTGGGCACCACCTGCGAACCACGCTGGGCCCAGACATTCCTCTACTCGGGCCTGCGACGCTGTGATCTTAATGGACGACTGCTTGAGGTGAGTGCCAGCTAGATGAGTACCCTAATTGTTCCTAATTGAGTTTCGGTATGCCCCCCTCTATGCTCAGGTGACGCTGTGGGATTATGTGCGTTATGGGGCAAACGATTTCATCGGCGAAGTGGTCATCGATCTGGCCCATCACATACTGGACGACGAGGCCGAATGGTATCAACTGCAGCCGCATCAGGACACCTCCTATCTCGTATGTCTTGGCCAGGCGTTAACGTGTTTCCATTCCGTTTGTTTTATTTTTACGTTCGTATTTTCGGTTCGATTCCGTTGCGCTCTTGCGTCTAGTGTTGGTAAACGTAAAGGAAAAAGATACAAAAAAACAGTAATATAAACCACCCCAAGATAAATAATAGTCATTTAGGCTGAACGCAGGCCTGGATGAAAGTTTATGCGAGCGAAAAACTTAACACAGAAGTAAAAATTATTAAAAAATTTTTTTTTTTGTTATTTTTTTTTATATTAGATGTAAATGTCTTTGTCCCCCCTTGCCCGTACACCTTTGCCCCGACAGCAGCTGTGCCCGATTTGAACTAAATTATTAACTCTCAGCATTTGCCATTATCTTTTCTTTTGTTGTGCACACCACCCGCAATCCGAAATAACCATAAAAAAAAAACAACAACAACGAAACCACACAACAACAACAACGACCAACACACACGTGCGCTCACTCGCTCTCTCTCCCTCTCTCGCTCTCGTTACGTTACGTCGTTCCATTTTGTACCCAAACATTTCGACGCAAAATTTATGACAACGACCAACCCAACAACCAACGCACCACCCAACCACCCATCAACCAACCACTCTTGTACCACCCGCTACCACCCCACTACCGATGTACAGTTACGTGACGAGGGCAGCGATGTGGACGGCCTGATACTGACACCGACAGATCATTTATCACCGCCGAGCACCATGTCGCGTATGAGCGACTCGGACACGACGTCCGACTGTGACATCGATGGAATGACGCCGGTGGCCAGCATCTCCTCGATGGGAAGCTCGGCCAGTCCGCCGCCCATGCTAGAGGTAAACAGCAAACAACAACAACAAACCACTGCAACAATAACAATAACAACAATAACTAAAAACAACAACAACAGCTACAACAATACACTGAAAAAACTAAAAAAAAATTAAATCAAATTTATTATTTCTTATATATGTATGTATATAGTACACACACACAGATACACGAAGACAGAAAGTAAATAATGGGAGAAAAAAGAATGTGAAGAAAAGCCAGAAAAACCAACAACAAAAACAGCAACACAAAAACAACCAACAGCAACAATGACAGCAACAAGAGTGAGGACACCTCTCACGCATACAACAAACAGACACAATGGCAAGCAATGGCAAGCAGCTTCCACTTCCACTTTTGGTGGCACTTGAACACTCTGCAGCCACATAGATACAAACACACACACACAGAAACATATGAACTTCCTCTCCCTCACACACATGCATAACGACTGTTGGCTTCGTGTTTTTTTTTTGTTCTGTCTCTCGTTCTGCAAAAGCACAAAAAAAAAATCGAAAAATAGCGAGCAACGTTGTCTAGTTTTGGATGCTCGTATACTTGCTGAGGGTATATCTAAAAGATATATTGTTGGAGTAAATTAAATGGAATTGCAAGCAATACTGAGATCGTTTTTAAAGGAATAGAAACACAGATTTGTACTTCTGCTTCAGTCTACAGATATTGTTGTTCTGATGCTGCAGAGAATGTAGCTTTTTTCGGATTTAATTTTGAGATAAATATCTTCGTTAGATTATTTCAAAATTAAAATAAAATCAGACCAGTAAATCGTAGCACTAATCAAAACAAAACTATGTGGGTTTTATGGCAAACTAAATCCTATGCAGCTGGATTGCGACCATTCGTATAATGATCTACCATGGATTCTTCCACAGATTATCCATAGATACTTCCCACTATAGTTGAACAATTCACAAGATCAGTCCAGCTGTGCTGGATTGGCACTAGTCCCAGTTGAAGCTGCCAAAAATGAGCCAAAATTTCGTACTAGAGAAATAAAAATAAAAAGAAAATTATATAAAAAAATACTAGATACTATTTCATAACTATAAAGATTATATTCTTGCCCAAGCAAAAAAGAGTATCCAAACAGCGAGTGTGCCGTGCGTTTACTTTGTGTGCTTTCAATTGTGTGCTTTAGTTAAGTTTCGCTAGTTTATTATTATTATCTCTCTCGATGTGTGTGCGTGTGTGTGTGCCTCTTTTTTCTAGCTGTATCTCACATATCTCACATATCACACATGCCACGAGCAGCAGCATTCAGCCTCAGACTGAGCCTCTTCAGTGGAGGCCGGGAAACTGGCCATCCATCCGACATACGCACAGCAAAAGACACACAAAGGAGACAAAGGCACAGATATGACACACACACACACACACACATTCATCTGGCATCTGCTCCATCAAAGGACTCCATTGCTGTGCCAGTTCCTGTTCCTGTCAGTTATCAGTTTGCATGCCACTGCAAATGCTACACAGACACAACACAGAGACAGAAACAGACGCAGATACAAATACAGACTCAAACACACACATGCATACATACATACATACATAACTGGTTCATGGTCAGGGACAGAATCAGATACAGACAACAGACAACAAACAGCCAGAGACAGACCCAGGAGACATTTATACACCATCCAACAAATTGTACAAAGTAATTTTTTGTGTTTCATGTTTGTTTTTGTTTGTCATTTGGGTTTCAAGTTTTATTCAAACTAATTGGTGTCGTTGTTTGGTTGTGTGCGTGTGTTAAATTTTTCTCTCTCTCTCTGTGTCTCTAACTCTAACTGTCAGTTCTACTATTCTACTACGCTCTAACTAACCAACTCTATATACCATAAAAATCCCGCTCAAAGTCGAGTTTTGGTCGCGTCTTTTCAGCTAAACGATAACAAAAAAAAAAAAACGAAATTAAAATAATTGTTGCATTTAAGTTGATGAAAGTCTAAGTCTAGTCTAAGAATGTTCTAAGTTAAGTTAATACGTGTAAAACTTTCAAACTTGAGAACACATACTGCCCAAGGGGATCGCGAGGTCTCGAACTCTCTGCCCCTCTATATACTGTCTCAACTTACTCCACTTCCAAGCTCAATCGAACTCCACTTGAAAGCCGCTTATTGCATGCCTCTGTGTAGAGTATCGCTTATGCCTATCCACCCGTATCTGCCACTTATCACCACCCATCGAAAGAAAACATTCATACATATATCCTAAAAGCTTTCCTTGTTGCTTTCACCTTTTGTAGCTTTAAGTGTGTAGCTTTGCGTATACTTGATATGTGTTGATTTGATCTAAAAAGAAAAAAACTCACCAGAGATTAAACCCTAAACACAGACAACCCAGAGACACTCCCACAACCCACAGACTCACACAAACACAAACACAATGTAATATACATGTATGATCCTACCACTCACACACACACACACACACACATATAAATGTCCTGCCCCTCCATGCAATTGACTTTTCCACTCATTTTGAACCATATGTAAATTTCTTGATTATTCTACTCCTTCTTTTTCTCTCGATCTCTCTGTCTCTCACGATAACCCCAACCAACCAACCAACCAACCAACCCAACCAACTACCAACACCCGAACTAAAACCTTTCGTCCCAAACATTCCCCATCCGTAAACGCTTCCGTAATCCGTTCATCCATGATCCAGCTCGATCTAAACGAGCGTCGATCCAGACGCGACATGTCACCGCAGGGCCGCAAACGGGTGGCCGGAATGGTGGCCCGTGATTATCGCACTGTATCTGGCATTGGACAAAGTTATCACAATCAGGTTTGCACCTCCTAAGCTAAATTAACGAACAACAACAACAACAAAAAAAACCACAAATAGAAAAATTGCAAACAAGAAACAGAAAAAAAAACAGAACAGACAAAAAATAAACACTTTCAAGTTAGAAGAGGATTCAGAGCGAAACCAATCCCGCGAACACTTCACACACTCCAAGCAAAACAGAACAGAACAGAACAGAGATCAGTCGAAACAGTCGTAAATGTAGCCATAGCCCGAGTTCTGTTAGTTCGAATCACAGCCAAATAATTACTGCACTTTCGCTACTCTTTAACTCGAAAACTAATTTAACTAATCAACCTACTAATAATCCAAACCAAACCAAACCAAACCATTTCTGCACCTTCATCAATCAGCTCAGCGGCATTCCATGTTTGAAGATTGAAGAAAGTGCGGCCTTTCTGTCTCTCTCGCTCTCTCGTTCTTGCTCTCAATGTATTTTGATTGAACGACTTTTGTGCCTTTCTCTATCGCACTATTATCGTAATTCAGTATTCTACGTATATCCATTATATATATCCAAATATCAATGTTTCAGTAGAAGTTGCAGTAACCAACCAACAAATACACTATCCACCATACATTCTCACACACGCACACATAGTTTGTGCCACTAATACTACTCAACCGAACCACTCACTCACTCACTCACTCACATAAATATGCCTAGTATGTAAGCTCTAATTCAGTGGGGATTGTGACAGGCATGGGATGGAATATGCCTTTTTGGGAGGCACTCTTCCTTTTGTCGGGGTTGCCTGCTTTAGAGCTGCACTAAACTTGATTCTACTTTCCATATGCCCTGCTGACACAACAGGCATCTGCCACGGGCTACTATCGACGCGGCGGCGGCGGTGGAATCGGTGGTAATGGTGTCGGCGGCGGCGGTTCCTCCTGCATGGGACCCGGTGGCATGAGCCTCAGTCAGCGCAGTCATTCGGCGGCACCCAACGACAGCTACCACAGCGGCGGAGTGGGCGGAGCGCCCTCTGGTGGACCAGGCTACGGCTACAGGAGTACCAGTCCGCGTCGAGGCTCATTGTCGCCACCAGACGATCGGTATATAGACTATCCAGTGCTTCCAGTACACGGCTCACCCAACGCACCCTCCGTATATCCGGGCACGGGTCCGGGCCACACAGCCACATCGGCCACACAGCAGCAGAGATTCCAGTCGCGCTCGGCCACAGCCACGCCCACAGGATCGCCAAAGAAGAGGCAACTGCCACAGGTAAATGACAGCAAGCACAGTGCTTTGATCTCGTAATAACTCATCTAATATCTCTGCTTTATTTTAGGTTCCTCAGACGTCTCGTAGCGCCATGCTGCGTGACCGGCTGGGCCAGGACTTTGACGAGCGTCTGGCCTCGGGCAGCCGCTTTGGGCGGCATCGCACACGCCAGCCGCACCATCAGGCCACCTACCGCAGCACTGGCATGGGCGGCTGGGAACGCCACTACACAGGGCTGTCCGACAGCGATCTGCACTCGATGGACGCACGCATGCGACCGCGCCACTCGCTGTCGCCGGACAAGGACTTTATGGGCGAGTTCGGTGACTCCGATATGGAGTCGGTGGTCAGTGTGACGTCCAGTGCGTTCTCCACGCAGTCGGAGCGGCCACGCACCTCGCGGGGACTCAGGTGAGTGGCAGCAGCAACCGCGTTCGCTTCGTTTTAGCCAAGCCAAGACAAAAAAAAAAAAAAATGCTTAAGCCAAGCTAAAAGCAACGCTGCCAAAATTATGCTGAAAATTCCGCTCTGGGCCACGAACACGAACACGAATTGGCGCCACATTCGCTGTTTCTGTTTATTCTTTTTGTGGAGTAGAAGAAGCTACATGCAAATTCCAAAATTTTCCCCTCAATTAGGCTCTGAATTAGTCGATTAGAAGACAGAGCGCTTACCGCCTGTAGACACCAAAAACACACACACAGATACACAACAAAACAAAACAAACAAAAACTAAAACAAAACAAATGCAAGGCAAGGCAAAAAAACATAAAGTTTCTTTTCTGCATTTACTTTTTTGCGTTTACCAACCGACAAATCGAAAAAAAAAAAATAAAAATCAACTCGCTCTCTCAACGCTGTCTCGCCGCTCGCTCTTTATCGCGCGCGTTCTCGCCAATCTCTTTTGTGTTTGAAATGCTTCTCAACACACACGCTTCACACGCCACCCACTCACCAACACTCACCACAAAATAAACCACACACACACACCACATAAACTACGAACCAAAACCAACACGCTGACCTCGGACGTCGATCGTCGTTTCTATTGTATATTTCATAAATATTTTTAACATGAAAATCAACATCCACAAATAACAACAACAAATAAAACATTCCATCGAACCCCACCACCAACCGTTAATCCACTACACGCGCTGAGTGCTGCCTTCCAACCTTCCAACACCGAAACGTATAACACACTCTGCATGACTAATGAACCCCGAACCACGAACACCGAACACGATATAAACCACAACCGATATAAACCACACAACCCCGATATAAACCACCCACCTACCACCACCCGTTACCAAAACCGTTACCGTTACCCGATAAATAACCGATAGCTTCGCCCACAACTGGCGCAATCTCTTTGGCGTTCGCAACAGCTTTTTGGGCGGTGCCAATGGAGGACCCGTAACTGGACTGCGGATGATGCAGCATCCCTTGGATGCAGCCAATCGTGCCAACACCATTGAGGTGGATGACTGCGACTACCTGTCGCATGTTGCTGGTGGCGGCACACAACAGCTGCTGCTGCTGGAGCAGCTGGAGCAACTGCAGCATTTGGCGGCCATGGCGGCCGCAGATTCCCCACCCATTTCGGCGGGACTCGGACTCGGAGTTGGAATGGGTTGTGGGATGGGGATGGGAGCACCGCAACGTGTCCTGGTGACGGACGCGAATAGCGGCGAACTGGTGGAGCAATTCTTTGTGGAGCCGGCGACAGCTGCTGAGGAGACGTCGGTCATTGATCCGCTCGATCCACTCGAACCACTCGATCCTCATGTGCATCTGCATCCGCATTCCGTCTACTATTCGCCTCATTTGTCCTCAGCAGTCACCAACAACCACCATTCGTCATTTCTGACGTCCAACGACATGTTCCAACGACGGCCCAACGGACAGACACCACCCAACTCTGCCTCCGCCTCCGCCTCAGCCTCAGCCTTTGCTCATGCCTATCCGCTGCCGCTGCCACTGCCCAGCTTTGAGCAATTCAAGCGCATTACCACGCCCGTCATGAATCTCTTCCGCAGCTCCTCGCCCATTCCCAATGTCCACGCCCACGCCCATGACCACGCCCACACGGTATCCTCCTCGCCCAGCTCGTACGTGGGCTATGTGCGGGATCATCTGGACAAGAGTTGCAGCCACTGCCAGAACGGCAGCCAGCCGGTGGTGCTATCGACGAACACGGCTCTGGCCATGCCCGGACTGACAATCGGAGCCTGTACGGATCCCTGCTGCCTGGTGGACGCGCATCCGCATCCGCAGCATCAACCGATCGCATACCCGTACAGTGCGGAGCAACTGCTGCGCCGCCCCTCGCTCTCCGCCTCGATGTACCAGCCGAGCAGCTCGGAACCCTCGCTGCCCACCATGGACCCGGCAATGTGCGGCGAGTGCGTCGACCAGCACTTCCTGGGCGGCCTCACCGGCCCCCAGGTGAACCTCGGCGCCGTGCCCACCTATCACGTGCACACGCCTACGCCGACCGCCCATAGGCGAGCCAAGGCGCAGCTGGCGGCGCCTCCGTCGCTGCCCACCCAGTCCGTGCTACGTCTGTCGCGCCAGCTGAGCGAGGACGCCCTGGTGTCCGCCGTGCCCATCTCTGAGTCGACGGCCAGGGCGCAGCCCACCTCGATCCTGAAGAAGCCGAAGCTCGAGCGCCGACGCATGTTCCACGAGGGTCAGTCGCGCTCCCTGGACTACGACGATCTGCACAACAAGAGCTGGGGCCGTCGGCGCATCCGCTACGAGGATGAGGTGGCCCAACACGAGGCGGCCGCCTATCCTTATACCCATTCCTACCCCTATCCCCACTCCTCGACGTCCCCGGCGGAGGGACAGCTGCCCATGTCGCGGCGCTACGGCTCCGAGACGAACATCCGGCAGTCGTACATGGGCGCCAATGTGGATGCCCACAATCCGCTGAGCCACTCGCATTTCCTTGTCACCGACGACAAGATCGTGACCATCACCTACGACTCGGATGTGGGCTGGACCCGCCGTGGCGTCGCCCCATCCCTTTTTCGCGGGCCGCACCGACAGCAGCGGGGAGCCATGTCGCTGGATTTGCAACGGACCAATCAACAGAAGCTCTACGGCCCGGCGGCGCCGTATCTGAAGCGTCGGCGGAATCTGCCACATCCGCCCAGTGCACAGAATGCGCACAATTTCTCGCCCATGGAGGCACGGGACGGTGGATCGACGGGGATGGACTATTCACTGTCGCAGCATGGTGGCGAGCAGCGGGGCGGTCATAATGCAATCGGAATCGGAAACGGTAGCGGGGGCGGGGGCGGTGGTCAACACAACAATATGAACAGTTACAGTAACAGTACCACACTCAACCACCAATCACACCACCAGAATCACACCACAACCACCAACCACCACCACAATAGCCAACAACAACAAGCGAGTAGTGTTAGTGTTAGTCAAAGTCACAACAAAAAAGGGAAAGAAGGCATCGCTATCGGCGGAACGATGGCATCATCGGAGCAACAGACGAAATCTAGTAGTGGGAGCGGTGGTGCAACATCTGCTGCCGCTGCTGGTAATGTCGTCGTCGGTGGTAATAATGCTAATAATGCTTCTTCTTCCTCTTTTGCAAATCCCCCACAACAACATCATGGTGTCGCTAATCAACCAATTACAACAAATGCATCACCCAACACCAACACGAACACCAACATTAACAACTATAACAATTACATGAACAATAACAATAACAACAACAACAACCGTGCCCAATCATCATCAACAACACCACACCAACAACAACAACAACCGAACACAAATTCAACAACAACACCAATGAACACAACAACGAATGACGTTAACAACTTGACTCATGACGCAACAAATCCCACACAACAATTACAACAACAAAATACATGCACAAATCTCATCAACAATACAACAACAACAATCACAAATTCAACAACAACAAACACATCGTCGAATGCAACGAATGCGGCGACAACGACGACGACAACAACGACAACTTCAACAACAACAACAACAACAACAATTGCAACAAATGCTACAACAACTGCCACAAATCCAACAACGAATACAAATACAACAAATAATACGAACGATACAAACGCAACAACAACGAACGATGCGGATGCGGACGCGGATGCTCCGCTCGACGCCATCGACTGGGATGCCATCGATGCCATGTTGGATGACGACTTCAGCGAGTACGACAAGGACAAGAACGGCACTGGGGGCGGTGCCAAATCCACAGAAGGTGGCGCCGAAGGAGAAGATAAAGCTGGTACAATTTTTGTTTTATTCACTCTAAGATCTTGTATCCATTTACTAACCCGATCTCTGCCTGCAGATGGAAGCCAATCGGATACCGCTAATGATCGCAAAAAAGGCGGCACCGTGGACCAGGAACGCTCGCCAAAGGGCGGCAGCGGCATGGGCAAGAAATCCAATTCCACCTCACAGCTGTCCGCAACAGGTAGGACAATTTTGAATCCATTTTTGTGTTTGCGCTCGTTTACAGTTCTCTCGTTCTGTTGCCTTGTGTTTCGTAATCGATATTCAGACAATCAAATCGGACAAGCCAGACAATCAGTCTATCTGTCTGTTAGTCAATCAGTCAATCAATCCGTTATCAGTCGATAGTCAATGCATTGTAGGCTCTAACCGGGAATTATATCCGGTTGATGCAGCATTCCATCGCCGTCTTTTGGTTTCTACACACATTCTTAGATTTATTTTTTTACGTTCCTTACTAACCGTATTTAAGCATTATAACCATTGAAGCTAACCCCCATTGCTATACTAACCGATATCGTAACCAACTACTAAATAATACTAAAAAAAAAAAAAGGGAAAAACAATTAAATAACATATGAAATATATGTATGTATGTATGTGCCGTACTCGAAGGTCGTAAAAGACGTATGGGCTTTGGAAAGAAGGGTAAGAACTCGTTCACGGTGCATCGCAGCGAAGAAGTGCTGCCCGGTGATATCACGCGCGAGCTGCGCGGTGGCGGTGGCGTCGTGGCAGCCGCTGGTGGTGCCAGTGGTGCTGCTGGCGGAGGAGGCGTTGGCGGCGGTGGCCTCTCGCGTGGCTCGTCCTCGGAGGCGGATGCCATTGAGCAGTTTTTCGTCGATGGTGCCGGTGGGGAAAGGTGCGCACAAGTCCAACTTACTCTCTATCTCTATCTATCTATCTTCTAACTCTCTCTCTCTCTAAACTCTAAACTCTATGCTATATACTATCAGTTCTATTTTTCGGTTCACTTATCATTTTTGGTGACTTTCTTTTTGAGTTTTTAGTTGCATTTGTTTTTCGTAAAGAGGAAAATAAGAAAATGGAAGGAAAATCAATGAGAAACGAAAAGCTCATAATGATTAAGATGATGATAAACATTAGTTAGCCCAGAAAACAGTAACATTAACAGTAACAGTATCTGTAACAAATACCAGTAACAGTAACAACAAGAAACACTCCAAGTAAGCCTCCAAAATCCAAGACTCCAAAAAAAAGAAAACTAAAAAAACTCCCTTTAAGCACACAGGATGTCATGCCCTTCTACTCGTAGCTGTAAGAGCTTTTCATCAACTTTTGCTCTCTCTCTCTCTCTTTCTCTGTTTCACTCGCTCTTCTGCTCTTTAATGCTTTTCTGCAAAAAGCTTAATTCAACCAAATGCTCTCTCTCTCTCTCTCTATCTCGCTCTGAAGCTCTGGCGCTGCAGGCATGACAAACTGTACCCTGTAACTGTACCCAGCCTCCTCCTCGTCCTGATTTACTTGATTTATGATTTCCGTTCACCTTGAAACGCAGGCGCAGCAAGACCGGCCAAAAAAAAAACAAAAAAAATAAAAACCAGAACAAAACCCAACCAAAAACCAACAAACCAACAAACAATCCAAAGTCGATACGTATTTTTAGGCTTAACAGGGAATACTCGAATGAAATTCCCATGGCGATGATGCGAGGCACACACCAAAAGCTTTGCCTGGCCACAGTTGCATGCCGCTGAATCGGAGCAAATGCGGCACAACGCAAAGCTTTTGGCTGTGCGACAGACAACAACAACAGCAGCAACAGCACACACTTTTCACGCTCACTGTATTGTGGTGTGTGTGTGTGTGGGGGGGCCACCATTGTATTAGCCCCCATTTTTGCATTTTACTTTCGTAGCGAGATTTGTTTTCTCAAGAATAAAACTTAATTAATTACTAACCCCCCGTTCCAATTTTTAATGCCATTTATCGATAATACTATATTGATTTCTATAATCCCACACATATATCCAACATTTTATACTAGAATTATGTTCGATTTGCATGCATTGAGTTATACCAATACCAATAACTAATACCTGAACTTATACCTAATACCAATATACTCTTAACCACTCGTACTCGACATATATCCAGCTACCTGCCAATCTCTTACAGCCTTCTTCTCTGTATTGCATATTGATATCACTATACTCGTGAAGCTTTCGCATAAACTTAGATACGATCCCCATTTATGTAGCTCGTGTCGTGTCGGGTGCGGTAAGAGTTATTCCAACATTGTTCATACTCGCAGCAGAAGATGATACCCACAGCCACACCCACACCACATACACATCTGTCCAACATTGTTCAACATTATCCAACACTGAACAGATTCGACAGTGTCGACAGACTCAAAACTGAGTTTTAAGCATGCCCGAGGATCTAGATTAAGCTGATACCCGAACCCATGTCAACGAACTAATGTTTATCATCTGTTTCCTACAAGATTTTTCTTCAGTTTTATTTTATTTTGCGAAATCAATTTGGATATATCTATTACATACATAAAAAAAAAAAAAACATATATATACAGGGAGCTCTGTCACAGAAAGTCAACAGCCATGCCATCCAACAAAACAACAACAACAATCAACAACTAACACACATTAAAAGCTCACCACAACAAGAACAACAAACTACAAAATTACAAACAACAAACAAAGCGCAGCATAGCATCCACCAAAATGAATCATCTGAGAATTTGCCAAACAATACAGCAACCAAATTCGCATTGCATTCAACCAGCGATACCAGATACCAAGTGCATCACCAGATATATAATAAAAATACTCTATAAAAATTAGAAGAACACATCCAAGCAAAGAACTCTTTAGTGGACCGAGCTGGCGGAGGCCCAACTGGGAATCGATGCCAGTTCTTTCAATTGCAACAAAATGCAAAAAAAAAAAAAACAATCAATCAATCACCCTGCAAAAAGTAGCCAATGAGTAAATGTTTTAAGTTGCGCCACTGATTTTTGATGATTTCGCCAATATATTAATATATATATATACATATAGGATAATGTATATTTAGTCTATAATGTTCTATGTTCTTAACTATATTCAGTTTCTCGTTCTCGCTTTATTTTTACTCTTATATTTTTGTACAATTTAAATTTACGTTTAAGACTCTTCTCTGTGGCTTTGATTTCTGTACAGTTATTTCGCTACTTCTACGGGTGCCAGCTTCGATTACGATTACGATTACTAATTCGATTTCGATGTAGATTCGGATCCGGTTTCCAAGAGCCCAACGTCGATGATAGTCCCCCAGTGCCAGCGTCGCAATCTCACTTCACTATGCATTGCTGCAGTTTGTTCGCTTTTAAGTTTCGATACGATACGATAACGAAACACACCCTTTTGTATATATATATATATCTGTACCATATGCCACCACACATACGAGTAGTATATATGTATCAATATATATGTCAATATATATATATATATCTATATATGTATAAATATATCGTTGTTTCCGACAGAACAAGAGCAGTATCAGGCACAGTATTCAGGCAGCTCGACTAGCTCCGCTAGTCAGCACCATCATATCACACTACCACCACCACATCCATATTACCAACGGCAGTCGCGTGGCTCGGCGGGCAGCATCCAGCGATCGGTGGAGGTGCCGCCGGTGCTCTCAGTGACCCGTTACAGTGCCGGCAGTATACACTCGATATCTAGCTCCGAGGGTTCATCGTAAGTTTTCCCGTTCAACTGTTCGGCATAACGATAGCAATTAAAATTAAATTTCCATCAACCAAAAAAAAATATCTACATATTAAGAAATTGACAAACTCTCCTCTCCATCTCTCTCAACTTTGCCTGTGCCTCTTCTCTTACTCTCTCTCTCTCTCTCTCTGTGTGACTCTCTCCTCCAACTCTAATAAATTAAACTGTTTTTTCGATTGGCTTTTGTATATGGTAATCTATGTCGCGTTCCTAACTATAATTTTACTATAACTCTTACACTCTCTCTCCACTCTCTCTCTCGCCTTCAATATTATCCTATAACTCTCTTTGTGTCCTTTCTTTGCCGTCATCTTAATTGTTGTCTATGTGAGCCTTAAAAAGCCGTTGAAAGCGAGAGCCTGCATTTCCGTATACCCTACTATATTTTCTCTTAAATGTATTCCACGTAATTTTGCTTTAGTTTCGTTTTGATTCTCTTCCACTACTTCTTTGTGTATTTTTCTGTAACCACGTGATTTAATCTTGATTTAATCTTTTTGATTTTGCAGCAATATCTATATATATATGTATATGTATATAAGAAAGTTATTCTCACCTCTCGATGTGTGTGTGTGTGTCCGTGTAAATAAAAGACAACTGTCGAGTACTTAGAGTACGATTTAGACCTAGGCACCTAGACCTTTACAGCACTGTGGCTCTTTATAGGGTACTTGCCCACCCACCTCCTCCTCTTCCAAAACAAAGAATAGACCTTCCATCTCTTGGGGAAGATCTTATAGACGCTTAATCCAAGCGTCTCCCACTTCCAGCTAGTTTTAGTACCTTCTCTGCACTTTTGCTCCTGGGAACGCTTCGAACGCTTGCATGCCACCATCTCGTATTGCGATCTGTGACCCTCTACTTGTCTCTGCCTCTCCCTTTCTCTCTCTCCTTTTGCACCGCCACAACCACCTGTCACCCAACCACCCAAAACACTCAGCCACACTTTCAGAACACAAACAGATGCAGTCGCACCAAACCACCAAACCACCAACCACCACCAACCAACCACCAACAACAAACTACAACTACATTTAACTGTCTTTCTACAACTCCCTGTGTATAAGAGTTATTTCTTTCTTGACAAATTTGTTGTGAATTATTATGATCTCTTATTTAAATGATCTCCAAATGAGAGAGAGGTTGACCTCTAGCTATTAGAAACCGCCACCACGAATCAATACTAATACTATACTCTTTACACAATACTCCCATCCTGCGTCATGCCCTACCCTACCACCCCCCAAACTGAAAACATACAGATTCTCTCCCTCGTTGCGCAATGATGGAGCCCTCAATGAGTTTGTCGAGGGCCTGGGACCAGGACAACTGGTGGGTCGCCAGGTGCTGGGTGCACCCTCACTGGGCGACATTCAGCTATCGATGTGCCATCAAAAGGGCTTTCTAGAGGTGGAGGTCATACGAGCCAGAGGATTGACGGTACGTTTTAAATAATCACCTTCACCCAATGAGAAAACCCATAATAATAATAATGGATTATTTCTATGTAGCAAAAACCCTCATCGAAGATGCTGCCCGCTCCGTATGTGAAGGTGTATCTGGTGTCGGGAAAGAACTGTGTGGACAAGATGAAGACATCGACGGCGCGTCGCACCCTGGATCCGCTCTACCAGCAGCAGTTGGTGTTCAAGCACTCCTACGCTGGTTGCATACTCCAGGCGAGACTCTTTGAAATATATATATTTCAAATCAATTTGCAATCGAACTAATCGTTTTTGGCACTCGTCTTTTAGATAACCGTTTGGGGCGACTACGGGCGCATCGAGAAGAAAGTGTTTATGGGCGTTGCTCAGATAATGCTCGACGATCTGAATCTGTCAAATATCGTGATCGGCTGGTATAAGCTCTTTGGCACCACCTCACTGGTCAGTTGTTCTAACATAGGTTTAGGCTCTAGGCGCTCATCTTTAGCCTCACTCGATTCACTCAAACTCTAGGATTTAGCGAAACATCTGCGAACTAAATTCGAAACGTACAAATACCAAATGCAACTTAGCTAGAACTTGCACTAGCAAGTGGTTAAAAAAAAGCACATTTGCATTATTTATGATATTTATATATAAAAAGAAACCCAATGATACCCACACGCCAGACACAAAATATATATTTGCATACGTATGTCTCGACATTTAGTTTCGTATTGATCGTAATGTGCAAAGTAAACCAAGTAAACAATTTACCAACAACATTAACCAGCAACTTAAATTAAACAATTTGTAGAGTAGTCAAATCACACAAAAAACAAACACCTGTAAAATCAGCAGATCAAAATCAAGCGATTGATTCGATAAAAACAACTAAACAAAATAATATCGATAAAATAGTGAACATTTTCAAATGCATTTGTTTTTAGTTAGCAAATATCTACATACTACATATACTATAATATAATGACACAGCCACACGCACTCCTGTAAATGAAACGCTTGTTATATTCACACACACAGACACCGAAACACCCACAAACACCACAACCATGAGGCCAACAACAACAACAACTTCCACAACAACAACCAGAACAAGAACAACAGCAATTTGCATTGTATGCTGAAAAGTGTAAATGAAACAAAAATAATGTTGATCGCAACCAAAATCAAAATCAAAAATGAAATATATATACATATATATATATCCTCTCTCGCAAAAGTCACCATATAAATCTACCGTTACTACAACGTAGCTTTCACATAGACTCGTTCAATACTCATATAGGTATGTTTCTCTATCCCCGAACTACCCAACCACAAACCAAAATACAATCGAATTACTCGTAGAAACCAACTCACATTCTCACAACCATTTTGTTAAGCATTTTCCTAGTGCATGCCCCCCGTAGATGATTTTAAACAAGAAAATATATAAAATAAAATATATATATTCTCCATTCGATTATCATTTGATAGCCACAACTGAATGGTCAGTAAAGTGGTGCATCATTGCTCACAGCACACACACACACACAATAACACACTACTATTACATACATATATAAAATGGCAAATCATGGCTAACAATAAATAGCATACATACAATATACATAAAACTATAAACTAGCTTTTGCTTAGGCTAGCGCTATTTAACAACTAATATTCTCTAATGAAAAAGAAGTTCTATAAATTGTAAATCAATTTTGAAAAACTGCCACACCAGGGTCGTCCGATTGTTTGGGCCGGTGAATCAGTCATAATGGAGGAGCCGGGTGAATAACACTTTCCAACACTAACAACACCAAAACCAACTACAACAACAACAACAATAAAAACAACAACAACTACAACAACAACAACCACAACGAAAACACTTTAAGCACCCAAGCACAATTCCAATTCCAAAGCGAACTCAAAACTGAACTGAATTCAGTAAGTGAATAACCTCCAATACAATACAATTCCAATGGCGTCTTCTGCTTACACACTCTCTAGTGCGCTAGTCCCAACACACATTCTGCCACTTTGCCATTTTACAACACACTGAATTAGAAAATGAAAAAAAGGAAAAAATACACACACATTTTTAAACTAAACCGATTAAAACAGAAAACAAAACCATATATAAACCCAGTTAATACACGTCCAAAAAAAAAACAACAAAAACAATTAACAGCCAACAAACATTTCGCTGTGTGTCAGGCATGTGTGACTAATATATTTGTGAATTTTTTCATCCCAATTCTTACAGTAACCCTTGCAAAGAGCTGCCAGCCAGGCAGCCAAATAGCAAAGGACCAAGGTCAGCCTGCAGCAGCGGAAGCAATGCGGCCGCCGCCCGATGATCCCCATTCGTCATGTTGCTGGCCCAAGCTAAGTCCAAATCAGTAATTTTTTCTATTCTACAAACAAAGGAGAGGAGGATTTCCAAAGAAAATAAATTAACCAAAAAACGAGAAAACCAAAAACGAGAAAAAAAGAGAAAATATCTAATTTTTGTAAGTCATGAAAACAAATGCATTTAACGAACCGAGAAACGAGAACCGAGAACACAGTAAAATGATTGAAACGTAACTATGGAAAACAGATACAAGATAGATATACATATATGTATATATACGAGGTCATATATATTATATACATACATATAAACATACATATATAATGGATAACATTTGACAAAAAAAGGATACTTGTAAATTATGCATATTTAAATTAATTTTTACTACACACCTAAGATCACTATTATTTTCGTAATACGATTAATACGTTTATTATTACTTAACAAAAAACTATTATTGATAAACGAGAAGGAGCAGAAAACCAATAACCGAAAACCAAAGAGAAATTATGTAAGGAGAGAAAGTTCAAGTGCTGTCAGTCATGCCTAAGCCAACGCTTAAGCTTGAGCAGCGTGCGGAAAGGAAATATAAAATGTTTAATAAATAATTAGCTAAATCTAAATCGAATATCTGTAGAAGATTTTCAGACGATGCGATGGCAGTTATTTAAGTATATATACATACATATATATATATATATATATATTAATATAAATCTATATATATATATAAATATATTTACAGTTTAAGCAAGCAAAGAACCACTAACACTTAAATAAGCCTAACTTACGATTAAACCTAAACTTAAAGTTCAAGTTTAAGGTTTGGGTAACTACAAAAACGGGAGATTAATTCTAGAGATATGTATATGATGAGATGAATATGTATTAATCGAACAACAACCACAAATATTTACCAAGCGAGAGATGAGCAAGTTTAACTTAATACAAATTCTCAACTTAAGCTGTACATAGGATCAATCCACACACACACAGCATAGACACACGTTGCATAGACACACCACATCCGGACATTCGATTGTCGATTGTCGTTCTTTATAGGCTTAATGGAAATTATTTAGCTCTGCGCTCCGGCAAAAACTCCGCAGCAACCCCAAAATGTGCGAGTTTTTGCCGGCTAGCGATGGGCACACACACACACACACACATACACACAGCTATGTATCATATAATTTAAACTAGAGCAATGAGAAACTCTCTCTCTCGATCGGTCTCTCTATCTTTCTATATAGACACATACTATCAAATACTATAACGCGATTTTGTTGTAGCTAGCCGCGCTTCCCCTTTTCACGCTTCTAGAGAATCGCTATAGAATCCGTTTGCGCCGCTGACTCGGTTCCAATCAATTTGCCTCGAACAAAACGCATCAAGTACCTTCAAGTTAATAGTGTGAGCTGTAAAAATCGTTACCTGCTTGCCAAAGACACATACATTACAACATACATTAACACATAGCGTCGTAACACATTAGCATAAATGGAAAAGTAATAGGAAAAAATGGAATAGAGAAAGGAGAAAAACCAAAGATAGTTTGCAAATTAATATTACATTTATAGTTTGAGAGATACTCCATTGTCGTTCTTTTGGTGCAACATTTTGCAATGCATTCCCAGAGGGGAGGAGACACCGCAATTGGTTCACTTTAAAGGAAACATATCACAGGCCTGTGACAAACAGACAGACAGACAAACAGACAGAGTGATGGATGGGAGCAGTTTACTTTTATACATACATATATAGTGTACTCGTATTAGGACTATAGTCAAGCAAATATATAAATAATATATATACGAGAAACGTAGCTATTGTTCCTATCCAGTAATTTAATGTTCGTTCTTTTTGCTTCACTCATGGCTACGGATATTAATTTGAACCTTTCCGTCCATTCATTCAGCTTTCAACACACAACAAGATAAAGTTAAATATATAATACATACATTGCATACAGGTGCATATCCATCCAAGCTGCAGCCTCCTATATCAGAACTACGACAACTACAGAGATACGTAAACAATTGCCAAATCACGCAGGGGAGAATGCATTCAAAATGTTGCTACAAAAAAAAAAACAAGAACAGAGGAAAACCACACATTAAGAGGAAAGTCAGAAGATGAAGAAAAGAAGAAGAAGAAAAAACTACCAGCGAGGTTTCCAGCAACTAATTATACGATATATAAATCAAATCAGAGATACATACCTACAAAAAACAAGCATACAGACATTATAGATAATCAGATTTGTACACTCCACTCCGATAGACACGAACTTCATACAAACTATTCTATGATAAAACTCTCTCTCTATCTCTATCTTTATCTTTGTATTGTTTCCACTGCTCTCCTTCAGAAAAAACATTCGAAGTTGCTTTAATTAATCAGCAAACCAGCAAAGTATATGAACAGGAAGTGCAAAAGAACGGCGGCAAGAGCCGAAGTTGAAATGCTCTTTCCGTTTACAATTGGAATGATAGGGAATTTTATAGGAAAAACAATTAAGTTTACACTTCCTGAGATACAGTTGCGGAAAGGACATTTTCTTCGTTGAGACATAAAAAGAAAATTCTTATTAGAATTCCTCTAGAATTCGTTACATTTAAGTCACACAAATGACAAAAGCATATAGAAAATGTTACTGAAGCAAATGAAGATATATTACGGCAAGTTATTTCAAGGGCAACCAAAAAACAACAAGAAACAAAACAGAACAAAACAAAAATGCTATCTACACAACAACCACAAGAACAACAGAAGAATATATCATTTATTGCAAATGTTGAACACAAAATTGATTAGGAGGCAGGGGCCAGCGCTCGCTGGGCGCTCTGGATACCTTGTATTGTATTTTAATATCTCGACAACAATCGAAGGTCGAGAAACGACAATAAACTGTGAAAAGAATATGTAAAAAACAAAAACAAAAAACAAAAACAAAACCAAAAAACTAAAATTATATTATTAACAAAGATTTGCAGAGAAGGCATTATTAATATTGATGAACACAGAAACTTGAATTGTGTAAAACTAAAAACTAAAGAGAAAATCTTTAATGAAAAGCAACATTTAAATAACAAAACAAAGGAAAATTCATTAAAAATTGTTTTCTAATAAAGCAGAAAATGGCGTTTCATTTCCCCATGGAGGTCCCCCAGCATTGTAATGGAAAACTCGCAAATATTTTGGGGTTTCACATAAAGCGGTGGTATTTCTTTATTTACCATTGATAAACCATTTAATCCATATATAGTATGTATAAATAATTTAAACATTTATGCATTTATTGATTTACCATATTAAATATATTTAGATGCGTTTATCCGTGTGCCATATCGGGTATTTGGGTTTAACCTTACTATCATTTACAAGTTTCGCTCGCTTATACAACAAATTCGACCCAAGATACAATTATACGTAATAATTAAATTGGTGTAATTTTTCTGTATGCAATACTTAGTACTTTTACTTTTATTTTAGGGTATTTCATATTAATTAACTTTTAATTGAATTAGGAAATTATGTTACAAAAGTTTCTCGTTTGCTTTAACGTTGCTATCCCGTTTATTTTAGTGCGTTTCTCAAAGGAACCAAAGTTAAAGACGATATACTAAACTAAATTATGGCCTATTCTCTATCGTATCAATGCATTGGATTTCTAATGATTTGATTTTTGGGGGTGTCTTGCATAGGTTCTGGTGTATGTGAGTGCCTTTCAAATTGTTTTATAACACTAATCAGTCTTTATAACGAAAATTAATACGATCGGCCTATCGAATACTCTACAATGATGGTGTGCGCGTGCTGTCTAAGAGTTATCTTGAACAATTATGCAAAGCTCGATCCCTCCTCCTTTAACAACAGTTCCGAGTGAAGGTCCTTAGTCAGGACATCAGAGGTTTGTATATCCGGTCTCAAAAACTCAAAGGCAAGCCGAATTTTCTGGCTCGGACGAGAAATGGCGGATTTACAGACATTAAACGCTAAAAGGAGAATATCCTTATTGTCCTTGATTGCCAAACGATCGGGTATATTCTCCCGATCACAATAATACCTGGCAACCCCTGATCAGCAGAGATATAGGGTAGCTTTAGCGATTTAATTAATAATCGAGTACAAAATACCGATAAAAGGCAATATCCTTATTGTCCTTGAAGAAAATCTGAGTGCAACCGATCGGGCATATTCTCGCGAACACGAGAAGGCGCGGCACTTCCAAATCGGAACAGGAAAGTAAGTATGCCATAGTAAGTATGGGGGAAAAATATCCTTTGTCCTTGGTAAGAACTCCATCCATTCTTCCAATTGCAGGAAGCCATCGATCAGGACACAAATAACGGAGAAAACAAAAACCAAACTGGCCTGTTGTAATTTGTTTTTTTTTATAGTATTTTGTACTACAAAAGTTTTTGTTATTGTTGTGCAACAAAAGTTCTCGTTTAAAATTAATGGCGTTCCAAACCAGGGTTTTTTCAATTTTTAGATTTTCAGTCGAAAAGAAAAAAGGAGACAAATTGTGTTGCATACTTTTAGCTACCATATTATTAAAAATCATAGCATACTTTTGGGGTTGAACAAATTTTTAAAAAAAAATTTGAAAAGTAGCTTTCTGCTGATTTCTGTTCGCCTGGTACTCGGTCGAAAATTTCTTCGTTTTCGCCATCTGGCTGCTGAATTTTGTTGTTTTTTTCGTTTGCCTATATCTCGACTATTTATGGGCCGATCTGGGCGTGGCATGTCTTTCTGTGATCGGGAGAGTCCTGCCAATTTATTGGAAATCGAAAAAGGACGAAAAGGACATTTTTAACGGTTTTGGCAAAAAGTATCCTGTTATCCTTTTTTTGGGTGCTAATCGATTGGCAGGACTCTCCCGATCACAAACAGACATGCCATGCCCAGATCGGCCCATAAATAGTCGAGATATAGGTAAAAGAAAAAAACAACAAAATTCATCAGCCAGATGGCGAAAACGAAGAAATTTTCGACCGAGTACCAGGCGAACAGAAATCAGCAGAAAGCAACTTTTAAATTTTTTTTTTTAATAATTTTCATCCCCAAAAGTATGCTACGATTTAAAATTAAATGGTAGCTAAAAGTATGCAACACTTTTAATTTCTATTTCGTTCATCCCAAAAGTAAGCTACAATTTAAACTAAAAATGGTAACTAAAAGTATGCAGCACAATTTTTATTTGCAATTACTGAAGTTGCTTTCTGCTGATTTCTGTTCGCCTGGTATTAGCAAATCTGAAACTCGGAAAAACTCGGTTTTGGTCGCCACCAAATTGAGAATTGTTATTGTACAATAACAAGAACAACTTTTGTTGCACAACAAATTACAGCAGGCCGGTTTTGTTTTTTTTTTTGTCCGTTATGTGTGGCCCGATCGGGACGGGCGACGGCTTCCTATGTTCGGGAGAAAATCCTTGGTTTGATGCAGTCCTTATGAAGGAATAAGGATATTTTTCCCTACCACAAATATTTAGTTTTCTGCGCTTCCTGTGATCGAAAAAATGTCTTTGATCGTTGGAGAAAAACTCGAACAACCCCAGCTATACATATTTCCTTTTCTCCGCTGTTTGTGGCCTTAATTGGGTGGCATAACAGGATACTTTCAGGCTTGCTGTGATCGAATAAATTCTTGATTTGATGGAGTCCTTATCAAGGATCAAGGCTATTTTTTCCTGCCAAAAATATTTAAATTTCTCCACTATTAGTGGGCCGATCCGGTCGTGACAATGCTTCCTGTGACCGTAAAAATGTCCTTACAAAGGATCAAGGATATTTTTCGCTAGTCAAACTATATATCAAACAATATCCCGGCGTGCTTTCTTGCGATCGTGCGAAGACTTTGATTGGGTCCTTATCAAGGAAGAAGGATCGATCCAAAATACATACGTACACGATCGTTCTCGAGTTCTGTCCAAAGATAATCAAATAGAAACAATTGTTCTGTGTGGCAGTGTTACACTATCGGCAATCCTTGCTAGTTGAGAAGTAACCTTTCGCCAATCGAAAATGCACAAGAAATTAAAATAAATCTCTGCGGCGGCTAGACGACATTTAAAGCAGTGTGCAGGAGGTGTCCAAAGTGGAAAGTCTTAAGTGTTTGCTTGCTTGCGTGTGTGTGTGTGAGAGATATGTATGGGGGCGTGGATAGTAGTTGTAGTAAGTATATCATTTGTATCATACATTAAATAATAGTATTCATATTGTCGCTTTGTTACATTACATTTTACATTCATCTTAAACGTTAAGCATTGAGAGACCATAGAAAATACTCGCACATATTGTGTGTATGCAGAAGCCTTGCTGGGTTGTCTATATCCTCTAAATCCGACTAGCTGAAGCATATTGGGTTTTTTTGTTTTGTTTTGTTTTGTTTTGTTTTGTTAGTTAATGCCATTAAATTGTTGTTTACCATTTTACAATACAATTACTAATCCTTACACTTAAAAAAAAACCATACAATTGCTGCTTAAATTCGTATGCCTTTTGTTCCTTTCTTTCGTGTGTGTGTGAGTGTGTGTGTGGTTTAGTTTTAGAGAAATTGCTTAGGGGAGAAGAATACTTTGAGAGTGCTTGCACATGATCAAGTTATGATATTTGTTGCTTCTGTTTAGATTAATGCGTAGATATTGTAGGTGTATAGGGTTAGTCTTACAGTTAGCTATAGATAGATATATTCCATTCATATATGATATGATAAACTTTAGTTTACATTTGATTACTTAAACACGATTAGCTTATTATCTTACACATTGTATACGAGCATAGCCATGTATAAATATATATGTATATGTATATGTATGTATGTATAGATATAAATATAAATAGATTTTGGATTTGTTGTAGATTTAGATGCAGCTGTAGATGCATGCAGATATAGTATGGATCGTACAGTTTTTTAGTGGTTTCATTGCGTGGGCGTTTGTCATCATTCATCAATCATCAGCTACGACTGAGTGTGGGATTTGTGCTACTTGTATCATCGTTTAGGCAAAGCAATCAAATATATAATAAATAAATATATACTCGTGTACATATACGCCCCCAATCGGAGTCGGGACTTCTTCAGCGCTCTTCAGCCGATCTCGAGTGCATTACTTTTGGAAGATTAATGGATTAGTGGTGTGGCTTCTCTTGGGCACGGAGCTGTACAAAAGCCGAGAGGCTAACTTAGAAGAGTACGGGGGATTACGGATACGTTTAGGGCACTACACTGCTACAGCACTACGAAAACTGAGTAAATGGTAGCTGGTGGAGCTTGGAGCTTGTAGCAGCCTAATGCAGCTGGGCCGTCACATACAGGCCACAGTCCTGGTCGGAGGCCATCGAATAGTTGGCCGAGTCGCGATCCTCGGGTATGGTGGGATGCGTCTCATGGGGCAGCTTGGCGAAGGCATGATGTCCGGCACCGTAGCCCAAGTGGCCGTACGGTGACTCCGCTGCCTTGGTCATGTGCGGCAGGCGGCGCAGGAAGTGCGGATTCGAGTAGCGAACGCCGTTCGGCAGGGTGGTGTGCGGCGCCTGCATTGCCTGACCATTGCCCAGGGCCACTGCAGCGTTGGCATAATGGATGCCCATGCCCATGCCGATGCCGGACGTCTTGAAGCTGGTGACCTGCGACGGTGGCGGCGGTATGCCCCCACCCATGGAGGTGGTCATGGCCGAGGTGGAGGCATAGCCGCCGTTGCCCGAATTGCCGGCAAGCTGCTGGCTGTGGCAGCCCACCGGCAACGGCATCGTGCTGCAGTGGGCCGTATAATCGAACTTCTGCTCCGGTACGCTGCGCTGCATCGGCAGCGTGGCACTGTTCATTCCGTTGCCGGAGCTGAGGGAGCCAGCCGAGGCTGGATCGGCATTGAAGCTGGACATGCGCATGTTGGTGCAGCGGCCGTACGGCTCCTCTTGGATGGGTGGCTGTGGTGGACGCGGCGGCGGCTTGCAGCTGGCCCGTGGCCTGATGATGACTTCCAGCTCCCGTTCCTCGCCCGAGTGCACGCCGCTCGAGGACTCGGAGGGTGCGCGCTCTGGCGGCGAGGTGGTGGTACTCTCCGTGATCGAGTTGGTGTCGCTGCGTGGCGTGAGCGCCTCGTTGGGTACGCCCGAGTCGGCGCGACGCAGGCAACGGGGTGTGGAACTGGAGGCAATCTGGATGGACGCGGGATAGACACAGAGAGAGAGAGAGAGAGAGAGTTGGGAATCAGTGAAAGTGGCTAAGGAGTCGGCTATCGGATAATGAATGATGGGAATGGGTGTGGGGATGGGTGTGGCTGTGGGCTGTGGGCTGTGGGCTGTGTGTTCAGATGGGCCGTGTCTGCAAGTGAAAATGAAATCAAATCAAATCAGGCGTCTGTAGGGGCGGTACCGATGTCGGAGTCCTCCGCACTGTCTGGTCTGGCACCATCCATCAATCCGTGCACTGGCCCGTGCACTTATTCGGAGCCTTTGCCCTGGCACCCTGGCACCCTGGCACCCCATTCCCACTCCCAGCCATGTCCCTGTTCTGTCTGTGGCCCTGGCACTGATTTATGCTGTCTCATAACAGCAAACATAAATCTCCTGCATCGCTCGCCTGCACTCTGCCGCGTAGCTGTTGCTCCACGGGCGTGACATGCTACACGCCCCAAAACATGGGGCACGCATCGCCTCGCTACGTCTCCACTGTGGTCCGCAGTACTCGCCTGTCCCTCGCCACCATGTAAATCACAAACAACAACATGAAATTATCCAGTGTCCGTTGCATAAAGCCAAAATGGAATACTCTAGCAGAACTACTGCAAATGGCGAGGGCATCTGAAATGTTGTTTGGAATTGTTGGGGTCTTTGTTCTGAGGCTATAAATTTTGTGTTAAAATCAATCCTATTGATTGATACCACCTACAATAAATTCTTCTATAAATTGGAAACATAAATTAAAAAACCCTACGCTAAGCAGGGACTTCCCCTATAGATTCGAATAATTTTTCTACCATTCAAGATAAATTTTTTAAGTGCTCCGAAATTGGAGAACTATTCCGCAGATTTCCTGTAGATTTTCTACAAGCTTGAACATTTTTCTTATCCCCTTTAGATCGCATCCGTAAGAACTATAAATTTAAATTTTAAATCCCACTGCTGGTTGCTGGTTTTACACTTACATGCGCCTCATTTGTGTGTACGGCAACCGTGACGGGCGCCAAGGGGCTGACTAGATGCTGCTGTTGCTGCTGCTGCTGTAGAGGATGATGCGGTGGCGGTGGCTTCTGCGGCTGGAGCGGCTGCTGGAGATGCTGCTGTAGATGCGACTTGTGATGATGCTCGGGCGACAATTGCATTATCTCGGGCATGGCCTGGGGAGCACGTCCGTACGGACCGGCATGGGGCAGCACCGCCGGTGGCTGTGGCATGGGTGCACCCTTGACGGGCAATGGCGGCGGTGGTGGCGGTGGCTGGCTCCCTGCCGTTGGCTGTGGCTGTGGCTGTGGCGGCTCCAGATCTCTGGTCGAGGCATATGTAATGCTATCATCACGCACGCAGGCCAACAGTTTGCCCTCCTCCGAGATGTTGTCATCGCTGATGCCGCCCAGACCGCTGAGGTTCGCATAGTCGTGGGGATGTCCATGGGCAAACTGAGGATGTGGCTGCTGCTGCTGGTGGTGGTGGTGCTGCTGCTGTTGTTGTCGCTGCTGCTGCTGCTGCTGCTGCTGTTGTTGTTGCTGGTGATGATGGTTGGTTGGTGGTGGCGGTGGCAGTTCATCATACTCCGACAGGTGAAGCAGACTAACGCCCACAGATGATGATGAAATGCTGCCTCCTCCTCCTCCACCAGCAGCAGCAGCGCCAGCAGCACCCAAGCCCAGACCACTCCTCATGCTGCCCATGGTGATGCCCACAACGGCGCCAGCAGTGGCTGCCCTTAGTGTCGCGTACTCGCCGTCGTCAATTTCCCCCGCAGCACTGGCAAAACATATCGAGGCTCCACGGCTCGTATGGCTAAATTGGAAGGTAGATTAATCGTTGGATTATGGTTTATGGTTTGGGGTTTATGGTCTATGTTTTTACAAGAAAGTGTGCGTATTGTTGCTACATGTTGGCGTTGTTATTGTGGCTGGGCTTGTTCCTTAGGAACTTAGGAAAGATAACTATTAGTGGAACTCTTGGTAGAGCTTTACAGAACTACGGCAACTTGCAGGGATCTATGTTCAAAGAGTTCGAAGTCTGTTCTGCTGGGAATATGCATAATATAATATAATACAAATATCTAAGGTGCATTGAGTTCTAAATTTATAGGGAAATACAGCTAAGTAAAACTTCCTCATAGATCGATACATTTATTGTTTTATATATTACTTTTAATACGACCAAGCTCTCATTTTTCGTTCTAAAGTAGCCGCTAAACTCTTTCATTTCGCGCGTCATGTGGCAGTGCCCCTCGGTCGCTTTGGCTTATCTACGGCGTAAAAAGGCTTCATTTACATTGCATATTAATGTGCGAATATTTATATGCATACCAATCTGTTTATTTCCATATTTTATTCGCACTTCCCTGAACTTGAAAATTAAGCAACAATTTCTTTACTTTATATACACTTTAAAGCGCAGAAATCCGTACGTTTTTTATTGCTAAATACTTTTCCTATTTAACCAGCAATTAGTTCGATTCGTTTTAAATTTTTTATGTGGTCGGAACAAGCCCCTACGCCTCTTTTCGTTGTGTTAGTTTAATGGTTTTCGTTTTCCAGTTAGTTAAGCAATTTACTAAACGCAGACAATAACAACGACAACAACAACACACAAAAATAGTGCGAAAGTATTTGGATTGGTTTTTTAGTATTTTGTTAATTGAAATACACTTCTGCCATCACACACTCAATTAGCTAGAGTTAGTTGTAATTAAGTTCTAGTAAATTATTAAACAATTCGAAAAATCAGAAAATCAAAAGGAATCTCTTTGTAGCAGAGATATATGTATGTATATATAAAAAACAGGCGACAAGCGGAACAAAAATAGTTTCTCTTCATAATCATTATCATCATCCTTAGTTCATCCTCTAGACATACAACACATCTACATACATATATGATTCTTTTATATAGTAGTAGTAGTAGTAGATGTAGATTATTTATAAATCGTTTTAGTATGAACAATCAGATCAGTTTTTAGTTTTTAATTTTTTAGTTGATGGACAAACACAAAAGTTCGAAATTAAACAAAACAGAATGGAACACAAAAATTATCGAACGTCAAATGCACGAGACGAATATCGAAATGAATGAATGGAAAGCAAAAAAGGGCTGAATAAATGTGTTGGCGAAAATTTGGTGTTGCAAAACGCTGCACTAATGACAACTAGTGTTGGGCAATTAGTTTTTTAATTGGATTTCCTTAATGAGACGTGCAAAACGGAACACAAATCCACACACACACACGCAGATACACCGACAACGAAAACAAAAAACCAAAAAGAAAAAAAAACGAATGGAAATGGAAATGAAATGGAATGGAATGAAACATAAAAATCACATAACGACCAAATTGAAATTCCTGAAAATTGTGCATTGCTTTTGCCGTTAATGGGAATGGGTTTGTGGGGGGTGGTGGGTGGGCGGTGTTTATGGTGTGTGTGAAAGGTGTTTTTTTTTTGGGGGGCTTGGTGCAGTGTGTGGACAAAAACTAAATGAAACTAGATGCTAAGATTAATAGAAAAGAACGGACAAATATTTTGGAGCTGGAGCTAGCGCTGGAACTGGAGCTGGGCTGCTCTTTCGTTCCGCCAAATGCTTTTGGTTTTACTTTTTGGTTTGTTTTGTAACTAAAAAACGATTTTTTACCGCTTGCCATCAGTTTGTTCTTGGTCACCAATTAGTAGGACATCATCAGACGTACTCGTAACTTCATTGAAGGTGACCTTCAGCTTGGGCGAACTGGGCGTCAGCTTCGGCCAATAGATATCCTCTTGGGCGGCCAGACCCATGCCCATGCCCATGCCCAGCTCCGTGCTGGTCGCCGTACTCATCATGTCCGGCTTTAGGCTGGAATCGTTGCCGCCATTCATGGTGGTGCTGGTGGAGTTGCCGCCGCTGCTCGAATTGCTGCCCGTACGCTGGCCACTGGACATCAGCAGTGGCTGGGCGCTCGCCTTGTTCAGCAGCCCCCCATAGGTGTTGTCCAGCGGCGGCAGCTTGAAGTGCCAGCGCCGTTTGATCGTCAGGCACAGCCAGACGACAATCCACAGCAACAGATGTGTGACACCAATAAGCGCTGTACAATCCCAATCCAAGGGCAGTGCATAAACGAAAAGGAATAAAGAAAGAAAGTGGAAAAAGGAAAGAGGAAAGGCAGTTGAGTTGAATGGAAATCCAATATTAAGATTAAGGCAAGCGAATGACAGCTTAATTGGACGTCAGGCTGGCAGCGCATTCGAGTGCGACACTCGATAGCCTTTGCAGTGGCTTTGTTTTTGTTTTTGTTTATGTATAGCCACGCCCCCTTAGTGGGGGGCGGATAAACGTTTGAGCCACATAACGTTTGTGCGCTAATTGGCTTAGGGGTTACCCAGACAGACAGAGACAGAAAGACAGACAGGCAGAAGGACAGCCAGAACCGCAGACAGGGTTCAAGGTGTTTTTTTTTTTTTTTGACACGGTGCTTGGCCTTCCCATTAATAATTTAAGCAGGCAATCAATCGAGTGCTTATTGGGCACTGTAGTTCAATGTGTTCCCTGTTTGTTTTGCTCACCTGCCAAAAATGTCGGACAATGCAAATTATTCTTATAGGTGGCACTCAGATCGTTGAGCAGCGGCGCCTTGACCACAGCCAGTGCCAGCACAAAGCACAACGAGGCGCAGTGGGCAAAGTAGATCCAAGTCTCGTTCGCTTTCAGCGTAATGATGGAGCGATCCCTCATGCGGGTGGCCAAGCGGCCATGCCCGTACAGATACATGACCATGGAGGAGGCCAGCACGAGCGCCGTGGCCAGCAGATACAGAGCCAGCGTCACGATGCCATTCAGAATGAGTCCGGGCTGATGCACAGGCATGGCCTCGGCATAGATCTGCAGCTTGTACAGATTCGAGACGCCCACATAGCCCAGTACGATGTCCAAGGCGGCCACAATCATTTGCACACTGAACACACAGGCAAAGGCCTTTGAGGTGTTCCAGAACACGGCCGGATAGCGCACGGACCACACCAGCAGGGCGCACAGCAGATTCACAAACTCTGCACTCGGTGGCTGGGCAAAGATGGCCACATCGATGGGCTTGTCGATGCCAAAGAACAGCTGCAGCATTCCGGCAAAGCCATCCAGCCGCACGTAGTCGTTGCCGGGCATTGCTGGGGTCGGCGGTGCGGGTGTGGCTGGCGTCAAAGCGGGCATCGCCTGAAAGTCTCCCTCCTCCAAGTCAAAGTCCTCGCTCTCCTCGGCCTCCGCCTCCGTCTCCGCTTCTTCCTCATTCGATTTGGCCACAAATTCACTGGAACTGATGCTGCCAGTTCCATCGCCCAGCTGATATTCCGGTTCGATTTCCACTCCTGCGGCCCGCTTGCTGATCCGGCGCTTCTGGTTCTTCGGCTTGATGGCTATGATCTTGGAGTTGCTCGACACTGGCGTCGAGGGTATGATAATCTCGGGCAGCACCTCCGGCCGCACGCGATGTATGTTGCTGTCCCGCGTGGTGGTCTCCTCCAGCTGCTGCGGCTGCTGTTGCTCCCCTCCCGGGCTCCAGCTCTCCAGCATTGCCTGCTCGTGCGATGCCACATGATGGCGACGCGCCTGCTGCTGTTTCTTGTGGTGCTGCTTGTTGTGATGCTTTCTGGTTTTGCTGTGATGATGATGTGGCTGTTTGCTGGTTGTTGCTGCTGTCGCTGTTGCTGTCGCTGCTGTTGCTTTGGTTGTTGTTGCTTTGGTTGTTGTTGTTGCTGGCGTTGTGGTGCTTGTTGTTGTTGTGCTGCTTGTTGCTGCTGCTGTTGTTGGCGCCTCAGTTGTGGTGGAGCGCGTCGTTGTGGTTATGCTCCTGCCCTTCGCCAGTGTTCCCAATGTCTGCCAATTTTCGATATTTAACTTGTTGCTGTCTTCGCTGTCGCTGCCACTGCCACTGCTGCTGCTGGTTGTTGTCTTTGTGGTTTTCGCTGCAAACTCATCAAAATCCGGCAATAAAACAGTGCCTGCCTCCTGCTCCGCCGACAACACATCGCCCACATCCCCCTCATCGTTGTCATCATCCCCATGGATGGCCTCCTCCAGCTCTTGGCGCTCCTCCTCGTCAATATCTTGATTAATTAAATCGGGCACTTCAAAGTATTTGCCGCCCGCATTCAATTTTGTGTATATGGCTGTCGTTTTAGACGTTGTCGTTGTCTTTGCCGCAGCCGCCTTCTGCCTGCCGCCGCCGCCCCCATTTGCCGCCTTAGCTGGTTGAGTTCGTAGGTCGAACAAGTTGTTATTGCCCCCACCCATGCCCCGCATGGCCGTGAACATGGTGTCGTTGTAGTAGTCCTCTTCGTCCTGTTCCTGCTCCAGACTGCCGCCGTTTGCTGCGGTCATGTTGTAAGTGTGTGGATGGCCCTCCTCCCCCTCCTGCTGCTGCTGCTGCTGCTGTCGATGGTAGTGCTTGGGCAGTGCTGTGGGTCCCACCACCGATAGGGCCATCAAATTGCGACGATTGATAACAACAAAGTCCATTTCAGTGGCCCAAATTTGTTCTACAAAGGATACACACAGAGAGAGAGAGATAGAGTTAGAGTTAGAGGATGAGAGGTTGATAGAGAGAGAGAGAGAGAGAGAGAGAGAGAGAGAGAGATAGTTTGTTTGTTAGTAGAGAAGCCAAAAGGCTTCTTCTTCCTGCTTGATTGATGGCTGCTCAAGCATGTGGAATTAATTGCTTTGAACTGCAGAGCATCCTTCGCATCCTTCGATACTCTCTCTCCGCATCTCTAATTGGAATACATCACGCAGGATTACATGTAAAGCACCTGTTAGGGATAAGCATACACACACACACACACACACACACACGGATACGCCTGCTTGGGCAGTAAATAAACCGGAACCACACAGCCACAGGCTTGAGTGCCTCTCTCTCTCTCTCTGCTGCTGCTCTTCAGCAATCGTTAATTAAATGAGGCATCGATGGGGAGCCTAATCCACAGCCCCCCACCGCCCAGTACTGATTAATAAACATGTATCCCCTGCTGCAAGTAAATGTATCTGTATCCTGGAGCTCCTAGCTGTATCTGCCTGTAGCTCCTAGATGTATCTGCTATTTGCCAGCTAGACTGGCTCTGTTGACTGACTTCCCCAATCAAAGGCTTCCTCCTCCCCCCCAACCCAACCCAACCCAACCCAACCCAACCCAAACCCAACAAATCAAGGCACACGCCAAAAAAAAAAACCCCCAAAATTGAATGTTGCACACAGACTACAAAGACAAAGCAGAAACTGAGCCACTCGCCGACGAAATTGTGGCACTGGCCGGCGAAATTGTGGCACTGGGCAGCAGCAGCCATTGTGCGGACAAAGGATTTGGCCAGGACGAAAGAAAAAAGAGCGAGCGAAAGGGAGACCGAAACTATTCCCATACAAATCCCAATTTCCGTTCGCATTCGAATGCTGAAGCGAAACAATGGACAACAACGGAGTTTTGTGCTCCACCATTAGCAGCCACGCCCAGCCCAGTCCAGCCCAGTCCAGCCCAGTCCAGCCCAGTCCAGTCCAGCCCCGTCCAGCCCCAGCCCAGTCCAGTCCAGCCCACACCTCCTCCCATTCGGTTGGCACTCCGCAGAGGACTAATTAAACGCGCATTTGCAGCATATGGTAGCAGCAGCAACAGCAACAGCAGCAGCAGCTTGCTCTGGGATCTGCTTATGGTTTTATCTGGCTAACCATCGTTCTCCATCTCCCATCTAACTCTAAGCATAATAATATCGATGTTTATTACGGTCAGGCATTCATTCGACTCATGCGATTTATTCGAGTGTGCTGTGGGGGCCATGGGAAATGGGAACTGAGCGCTGAGGGCTGAGGGTTGCCATGGATAACATAGCATAAGCCTCCATCCTCCATCCGCCCCAATCCCCACCCTCCTCGAACTGCAATCAGAAGCCAAGCAGAGGAGATGGCTGAAATCTGAGCGCTACACCAGCATTTCTTATGGCCATAAGCAAATATACAAACAAACAAACAAACAAACAAACAAACAATGAAAATATGCATTTCCGAATCAAGGATTATACCCGCTCCGCCTCCGCCTTCACCTCCATGGCAAGCGAAATTCGAGTGCGCAGAAATTAATTCAATTAGGAAACTATTTCCCTTTCCTTATGCTTGACTTATTCTCAAGCTAAATTTGTTGTTCAATGCTTAGAGTTTTTGTTACTATGGCTTAAAGTTGTGCAACAAACTTGTGGCTTCTGCATTTAACATTTCATTTGAGCTTATGCCGGAGATATTTATGCGACTCATATGCCAATTATCTGCCAATTTTGTATAGAATATTCCTAGCCTAAGATCCATGTTAATTTCCACTTGAAAACTTATTTTATGCCAAACAACAAAAGCTTTAAGTCAACATTAATGAAACGTATTGACTTGGGAGTGCTTCACAAATGCTTACAGACTCCAAGGCACAGGAACTCTTAGGCCAGAACGTTGCCCATTGAAAGGCAATCAGGCATAAATTAATCCTGCTGACAGGCTGCCAATCCCATTGGCGACACTCGCAGCGGAAATTGGGAATTGATTAAGTGGGGAAACCCTTAAAGATTTTCCCCCCAATGCTCTGTGCTCGTACCTTTCTCTGCGGCTCCTATCTAATCCCTTGTTAAACCCCCCTCCAACAGAGCTACGTAAATTTGTTTGTCTTAGAGCCGCTCCGCAGCTCCTGCACTTCGATGGGTGAAATTTCAAAAGCTCGCTAATTAGTTTACTTTATGATGTCGGTTATGGCATGTCCTTCGTGTTGTCCTACTCCTATGGCTACTGCTCTGAGGCATCCCATAGAATGCCCTAGTTAATAAAGGAAGCGAAAGCAATGCGAAATTTCGCCAAGTTAACACTTTCATAAAATTATTTATTAGTTGGGGGAAGGACACTGCTTGCCCAGCGGGCAGTCGCAGTCGCTCGTTGGAAATAAAAGAAAGTCCTCAAAATGGGAATTACCAAACAAATATTAAAGACAATGGGCGCTCCCAAAAGAGACGAGCACTGAGGATGGGACTGAGGCTGAGGCTGAGACTGAGACTAAGGCTGGGACGGGATTACAACAATGGATGCCATAATAATATGTCGCTGCCGTTGGTGTCGTCTTTTCGTACTTAAAGAAGCTACAGGAATGGCAGCAGGAGCGGCGGCGGCAAGTGGCTCGTAAAACCGACAACACCGAAAATCTCCAGATTAACCCGGGAGGCAACCGCCACACTCTGCTCGTGCTTTGACTCTGCCGCCACCTCCTTGATTATGGCAATGACAATAACACCAACGAGAATGAGCGGCCAAACGAGGAGGAGCAGCTAGGCAGCCAGCAAGCTCCAAGGATAAGCGTAATGAAAATGCGCAAATCCAACTCGGGCAACGCCCACTGCTCGCAGGCTGGCAGGCTGGCCCCATGCCACATGCGCCCATGGAAATGGCAGTTGCAGTGGCCGTGGCCGTGGAGGCTGCCATGGGGGCTGCTGCCAGCGAAGGAGCGACTTCCCGCTGTGGTAATAGTTGCGATAAGACGACGAACAGCACGGGTGGGCTCTCTCCCTTCAACCCCAAAGCTTGCGCGCTCGTTAAGTCTTTAGCATGAATAATGATAAGTTTCAGGGGCTCGGGCCAAGAGCCGATATGCCAGAGACGAGCCACGAGCAACGAACCAGCGAACCAGCGAACCAACGAACGACGACCAACGACCTACGGCCGGAGCTCAACGTCTTTAGCCACTTCCGGAGGACCACCATCCGTCCGTCCCCCCACCATCCTTAACGTAATCGGAGAGGGCCTGTTTAGCCAGCCTTTTATGCGCTCAATATGGCGCAGGTCCAAGCTCATGCCCTGCCCTGCCCTGCCCTGTCCTCTTCCCTCTCTCGCCTCGGCCATTACATTTTTCATTTGTTTTTGCTATTGAAGCAGAGATGTCTGCATTAATTATTTATGAGTGCAACATGGCGTATAAGTGATTTTCGCCATAAAAATTGTCATCCTTCTTGCGCAGTGATTTTTGTGTCATCTATTAATGAAATTAATTAAGGGCATTGTGGTGTTCCGCATCCAGTCCGCCCGGCACTGCCCCTCCTCCCTCCTTCGTCCTTCCTGCCCTTAAACGCTTAGCGCATTTTTTCATTGTCTTACTTTTTGTGCCGCTGCCGACAACAGCTGCCCGGCCTTAGCAAGTTTCCTCCTGCCCCTTTTTTTTTTAATAAGTTTTTCTTTTACTTTTCTCGTACTTTCAAGTTACGCGCATAAAAGCGGCACTTGATGGCTCGATGGGGGAGTTGAGTTTTTCTTTGGCATATTTATTTTATTAATGCTGAGAGTTTGTTGAAGTTTCAGAGCTGCAATATGGCAGTGTATTACAGATAGGGATAATAGATGGAATCCTAGTGGGAACTCACTCCAGTAAAGTAGTTTTCCCATAGCACAGCCAGAGATAATTTAAGGAGTAAATTTTTGCATAGCTCGAAACTCCAAACGCTTTATGGCCTAGGAAAATATTAATCCAAAGATGTTCTTTGCTGGGAGAACGTAAAAAAATGAGCTACTTATCTTGCTTAATATTATATATTAAATATCTAAATAAATTCATTAAAGATTATGATATTAGGAGAAAGATCCTGAACGTATATGGAAATGTACGCATATTTATGCTTTTGTGTCTACCCTTTAGCTTTCATTTGCTAAGCTCTTTACTCCTTTCTCATTTTCGCAGCTACTCCTTCTCCGCCCCTGTCTTAACTTTCCTTTATTTTTACAGCCATTAATTTCCTTATCCCTCGTGGCTACAAGTTACTCCCTCTCCCACTGATTTATCACTTCCTTTCAGTCATCAAATATTTGGCGAATTTAATGCAACATAATCATAAAATGCATTTGTGGCTACAGTTTTGTAGCCATCGCCCTACGTTTTTGCCCCCCCTTTTGATGGGTTTTCCCGTGCAGCTTTTTATGCGAGTTGGTGGGAAAGTTTTTAAAAGCATTTTCGCTTTTTTATGATTGGCTCCCCCCACCCGCACCACCTTGCCTAATTGCTTCATCTTTTTGTTCCGATTTTGTGGCTCTAATATAAAAGTTGCAGAAAATATTAAACAAAAATGTAGGGAAAGAAATTCCATAGCCTAAACACTAATCATTTGCCTGTCAATCGAAAGGGGGTGTGTGGGGGGGAATTGGAAAAACTTGTGGAAAATGCTGCTAATTGCTTGCTGAAAATTATAATTCTGCAACTTACAGGCATAAGCGCCTCAGAAGGCGGAACCCAAGGCGGAGGGAGAGTGGACGTCTGACAGGCCAATCTTGGAGAGCTTAAGTCTTTAAGGATGTCAGTGCCTCGTTGACAAATTGCCCAGAGAGAGAGAGAGAGAGAGAGGGAGGGAGAGACAGAGAACTGCAGCAGGCAGCAGAGAAATGCACACAGCGGCGGGCTGGGGGGTACAGATGGAGTGCAGGCAAAGGCTAGCAGGCAGTCAGCCAAGCGTGAAAATGGAGCCAAAAGGAGTCGCGACTCGCGCGACAAGGCATTGCACTTAGCTTGACCAGCTGCCCGGCTGCCCCCCCCCCCTCTGGCACTCCGTACATCGGCTCCTTGGGGCTCTTCCACTTTTCATTTCCCCTTTATTTTTCTATCAACTGCAACTTTAGCTTTGACTGCAGGATTTTATTTGTGCCAATGATTTTCTAATTTACGAAGGGTTGGGGTTGGGGTTGGGTTGGGGAAATGGACAGGAAAAACGACAGGGATTCAGCTGCAAAAGTTGTGCGAAAACAATTTCCCCCAGCATGGATTTTCACATCGACCACGGGACGAGCAGTGCAGAGAAGCGAGGCAGAAGGAGAGAGAGAGAGAGAGAGAGGGGCAGGGAATGTCTGGCAGCGACAAGAGATTGACTTTGTGGCAAGTGGCAGGCAAGCAGCAGGCAGCGCGGTAAAAAGCCGGCCAAAGCAGCAGCAGCGGCAAAACAACAAAAATAGAATCGAAATTAATTGAAAAATCACATAGAGCAGACAGCAGACAGAGGAGGAGGGTCAACCAGTCAGTCAGTGAGTCAGTCAGTCAGTCAGTCAGTCAATCAGTCAGTCAATGAGTCAGTGCGGATTTATACTCATCTCGTCATGGTTTTTATGATGCCAATGCAAGTTGAATGGGTGGCACACTCCCTGCCCATCGACATTGCCGATGAATCCTGTCGAGTCCAACTCCAACTGTGGACTCACAGCCACATTTTTAATTTACTCCGCGAACCGATGGCTGCCTTTGTTCTCTGCCTCTCTGCCGCGCTCTCTGTCTCGCTCTGTGTGTGCCGGTACTCCGGTTACTCCCTTTGGTTCAATAAACCCCGACATACAATTCCCCGGACATCTGGGGACTGGCACTGGGCACTGCGAATGGAGGCACCCCCACCAGACCGGACTTTGACTCACTTTAAATGTAGTTAATTTTGATTTGCCTCTGGCTCTGGCTCTGGCTCTGGTTGCGGCCCGGCCCTTTGCATCTCTCTGGTGTGGTGGCTGCTGTTGCATCTGTTGGCCATTATTGTTTCATTTGCTTTTTGCTTTTGTTGTGCCTTCCTCGGCAATTGTTGCTACTGCTGGCCTAGTCGTGGCCATTTAGCATTTTGTATTTTTTATTTGAAAGGGTCTAAAGGGTAATGTCCACTATCGAAGGAGGCTTGCTGCAGAGGAGTGGCTCTGCACTTGCTGGCTGGCTAAGGGAAGGAGATTTCTACTGACAGCTGCCTTCAAGAATTATATTCAGAGCAAGTCATATGGAAGCTGGAAATCATTTGAATATTTATCGAAACATTTTGAATGGAAACTGGAATGAGGACTAAACATTTCGAATTAAATAATAGGCAGTAAATAGCACATATGGAACAGAACATTCCTTGACTCTTCCTATTGAGATAGGAAATCTTTAAATAATATTTGCGAGAGTTGGCAAGTAGCTGTGGCTTCGATTGTTATTTTTGTAGAATTTAAAATGTGCCTAGCAGAATTATCACTGTGCAGTTTCGCATTGGGAATCATTTCTCATGAAACGAATGGGCCCTTGAACTATATATTCTACTAAGAATTTAATTCACTGAACTCTTGGGTGCAGATCTAAAATACATTTTCTTTTTTATTGGTGCAAAAAATCAGCCTGGCATGGAATATAATCTGTGCTGCTGATTTCTGGTCCATAGAAGCTTCTCATTGACTGTCTTTAAATTAATTTGTTCTTTCCTTAGTAATATCTTTAAGATCCTTTCTAATTTCAAGACTCTGCAGAGCATCCCTGGATTCGTCCTGAACAAACTAATTTTGCCTGCCTTCCAGTTCGTTTAGTTTCTGTTTCTGTTTTTTTTTTGCTGTTTGCCATTAACTATGGAATTAGTTTACTGTGTCTGCCATCACATGTGAGACTCGTCGATCCGACTGTACACAAACCAGCACAAACACAGACACAGCCAGAGATACACACACACACACAGAGGCCTTCTGCTGCTGCTGCTGCTGCTGCTGCCCCTGCTGCTTCTGTTACTGCAAGGAAAACAGCATTCGGAGTCGAGCCCTGGAGTCAGTGCTGTGGCGAGCCCCAGCCTCCCCAGCCCCCCGTGTCCTGCCTCACAGTTGGCCAACATTTGCACAGAGTTTTGGGTCGCTTGGCCGCCTTCCGCTGCCACGGATATGGCCGCCTTCGCCCACTGTTAATAACATGGCTTATTGCTGGCCAGCATTATGGCCGCCGCACCTCGTTCCCTGTCAACCTGGTCTGGCCGCTGCTGCTGCCTCTGCTTCTGTGTGTGTGTGTGTGTCCTTTTCTGTTTGCTCCTGCGGTTGTTAGCCTGTGTGCACGCTCGTTCGGTTGTGTTTTTGTTTGTCGAGCGGTCATGCATACCATATCGTAGTACCTCGTACTACACCTACACACACACACACACACACACACACACACACACACACACATACTCCCATTGTAGATGTTTGGCTAGCAGATTTCCCCAGCGATTGCCTTTGAAGCTGTTCCTCATCCGCCGTCTCCTGCTCCTGCTCCTGCTCCTCCTACTGCCGCTGCCTCTACTACTCCTACTGGGTTGTATATGTATGTATATATTTTTTTTTGTGCTCTTCTCTCATACTCATACTCAACTCATGCATATTCCCTTAAGCTCGCTTTGTTAACCGCCCTTCAGAGCATCCTAAACTTCTTGGTTAAACAGTTTGTGGCCCTGCCACCATATGGAGAATGTAGGAGTAAATGTATTTAAATAGCAGGGCAGTCCTTCCGGTCCCTGCCCCGTGCTTGTTCGTTTGGTTTCCTTTTAAGCACACACACATAATTTAATTAAAATGCAGAATGGCAGACTTAACAGCAAATTGATTGCATCAACAATGGCAAATTATTATGATTGATTTTGCAGCCAACGCGATGGGGCAGGCCAGGCCTCTGCTTCCATCTGCAATATTCTTCAGTGTGTTGTCTGCTGTATGTTGCATGTTGCATGTTGCCTCCAGTCATGTTGTCGGTTTAATAGTTGTCATCATTGTCATTGTATGGGGGGGTGGGGGATGGGGAATGGGGAATGGGGGGACATCAACGCCATCAACAATACGACAATGTACCGCCGCGCGGTGTATGCAGGACAGACAACAATAAAGCTGAGGATAACTGCAATCCTCGCCAGGCAACAATGTGACCCAACACAATCCTTTCCACCTACAATCATCATTCCCCAAGCAATCCTTTAGCTATAGCGCTCCTCCTCTGCCAATCCTTTGTGGAAGTGCATAATCGAAATGCAATAAAAATAGTTCAACAAGAATGCAGCCAGTCCTGTATTGCGACTCAAGGACTACCCTGTCTGTTGCTGGGCTTTATTGTAATGTAATAAAGACTGCTTGTATTAGTAGGGTATTGAAGGGTATTAATAGCTGTTAAGTTAATAAGCAACCGAGCATAGGAGACAGCGAAACTAGGCAGCGAAAATAAAGTGCCGTTCCTTATTTGCTGAGAGCGCGCGCGACGCTACAATAATACTTTGTGCACGCGGAGAGGAGCAGTAGCTGCAGTCGCATTGTTGTTGTTGTTGCTGAGAGAGCGCTGGAATTTAGTTATTGCGAGAGAGGATCGCAGCAGAGCAGAGCTGTGTCAGAATGAAACAACAACAACAACGACGGCAATCGGGAGAGAGAATAACCAACAACAGTGCCAAGCATCGAAGCAGCTCTCTTATCTTCGTGGCTGGCAAACTGCAGAGTTTTAGTTGCCGAGAGCGCAGTAGAATGGCGGCAGAGTACGAGAGAGTGTGTTTATTGCATGCGCGCAGCACTGAGAAAGATCAAGAGATAAGACATTTTCGATTCACGGCAATGCAAACGAAATATAACAACAACAAAAGGCAAAGAACAGTGGAGAATATTCAGAGAAATATAGCACATTCTACTCATCCGATCGTGTTGATTTTCGGTAGTAATATGTATGTAAATAATAAAGCTCCCCTTCATAAAGCCCTTCGCTTTTTCGTTCCATAAAATTCAGTGTCACTAACTGAACCCACTGCCTGTTATATCCGTCCCCAAACAGATACAAATAAGTACAATCTTTTGTCCCCTTTGCAATGACGGCCATAAAAAGTGTATCAACGATGCAACAACAGTGCAGTGCAGGTGGCATCCTCTCGCTGCATACTTAAACATTTCCGTTTGTGTTGCATGCACCCACTCAGAGTGACTCCTCCAGGTGCTGCCACAATGTATGGGCAGGCATTGTGCGTCTGTTGCAGAGAGTTGGTCAATTAATTATGCTCACCTTTCGGCAACAGTCCGTTCTCGATGATGCGCGCCTCCAGCAACAGCCGTGGCAGCAGCAAACAAAGCGCAATCAGGATATGGACAAAGGCCGCCGTCGGTCCGCCGTGCGTCCACAGAGCACGCAGCGTCCCGCCGCGTGACTCCTCCTCGAGGCCGTCGTGGGGGGCCAGCGTGCAGCGTCGCTCCCTTGCGCCTGTGGCCAATTTAATGCCGTCGTTTGCCAAGTTGCCAACCTGTCAAAAAGTCATCGAAATTTTTGGGGGTATTATTAAAAGGAAATATTAAGAGAGAGCAAAAATATAGTTTATTCAGTGGACTGGAAATGTGTGTGTTTGTCTGTGTGCCAAAAAACGGTTCATATACTTATATATGTATGTAATTTGCCAGCTGGAAAGGATATTCATAGTTGAGTGGTGTGGGAAGAGTCTTGACAATGTCTGCTCTGATTTTCGATTGGTTTCCCTTTTTGGGCATGGAGCGGAAATTGAAATTTTCACAAGAATATGCTCTACTTCCGGGTAAATGTAATTTATTGCTCTATGATAACTTTCTTCTACAAAATAACAAAATGAACAAATGAACAAAATAATTAAGTTTCGTTGAAATGTACTTTGGCGCAAAACAAAAGCCCAAAATGATGCACATTTTCCATTTCAATCACAGTTGCGCTTTTAGGCATCCACACGTGTCCACTGGTGGGGGGGCTAATAATGCTTTCATTATTTATTCTCTGTTGCAAATCGACGTTTATCCAACCACATTACAACATAAATGGTGGATGTTTATATCTATTGTGAAAAGTGCATCATTTGCTGATGCTTTCGGCGCATACAAAATAACATTTCTTTTGTTATAATTTATTACAAAATTCTAATTGAATGTGGAGTTAATTTTTTGAATAAAATTTACAACAAATTTTTCATACATTAATACAAGCAAAGAATTATAGAACACGTATAGAAATCATGCTGCATGTGAGTCGAAGAGCAAACAATTTTCATTTGCGGTGGCATGGCCAGGGGCACAAATGCGCAGTCAACAATGTCTAACGAAGAGAATGGGAGAGTAAGCCCATAGTTTTCTGTTTATTTTAATACCAAAAAAAAAAAGAAGAAGTTTTAGCTTTTGTAAGCCTCTTTTAAGCTTTAGAATCCATAAACTTATAAAAAAAAAAACTGCCTTCCATTAGTAAAATTAAAGTTTAAAGAACGAAAAAAAAAACCATAGAAAAGAGTACCCTCATTAGTTGAAAACCTTTTAACTATTGCAATTTTAAAAAGTTTGAATCTTAAGCTCCAATGACATAAAACTCCACACATCAGATTTAAATACACAGCAAAATTAAAGAATGTTCAATTAGATAATTAAACACGTCTTAGGCGGACCTCCCCGCCCACAGTTTCATTTCTCTGAGCTTAAGCTCCTTGCCAACCACACACACATTTCAATACGTAATCAGAATCAATTCGAAAGATTTAACCAGACCAAAATACTAACAGGACATGCCGAAATGTGGATTACTCTGACTCCTTACTAACTCCTTACTTATTCGTGCCATCAATAATCCAGAGCCAAAGCCACAAACTACTCAATTATTCTTAGTTTGCCTACGACTTCGGGCAGTCAAATGATATCTATCCCAACACACAGACACAAGATTTTCATCAATACTGTTAGCATAATTATCGCATGCAGCCCGAGAGGAGCCTTCAGCTTGAATCAATGTAAATTATTGCTTCAATCAATCTTCAGTGTCTGGAAAATACAATCGGTTTAAATTACTGAATATCCAGGACCTCCCTCTGGGTCTGCCATTTGGGACACCATGTTGCTTCCAATCACTTGACTCTACTCGGATTTTATTGCATAAATTACACCGAAAAATGCATAAATCATAAAACCAGCAACAGGCAGGCAAACCACCAGAGCCTTGTCACAGAGTAAAGATATCCCTCAACCATGTAGGCGAGGCTGACCACACAACCGATTTTTGCTGACCTCTGTGGCAATTAATAAAAAATTTATATAAAAATTTACCAAAAATCATTAAAAAAAATGTAAAGTGCGAACAAACATTTGGGTGGGATTTTTTTTGTGTGTGTTTTAATGCATTTTTTATAAGTATAATAAATTGCAAACACCGCGCGATTTGATAGTGAAAGAGACACAAAGGACGTTGCGCATACGACGCGTTGGCGCATAAACAAGAGCACAAAAAAAAAAAACAAAAAAAAAAGAGGGAACATTTTTGCACGTGACAAATGGCAAAATGAAATATTTATATGAACGGTACGTACGTATATGCCACATATATAAATCCTGTGGAGGATACACTTGCGCACTCTATAGAACATAAAAATCACGTGCAGCATACATACGTACATACATATATAAATAAATGCGAGCTGTCGGGCTTTTAAATTAAAAAACAAGGGGCGACACGCTCATGTCGAAAGAATCGACAATGGGAATACCCCCCACGTACGCACTGCGGATAAGCATGAGGTGCTGGAAATTGTATTCTATATTTTATAAACTACATGGGAAAAAATTAAGAAAAATAGTTGCGAGAGGTGCCTGAGAGTGCTTCGCCTGGGAATTTGTTATACTAATATCTATTGAAAAATGTACTACCTGAAGCAGTCTAGGGGTCTCTCAAAGGGTATATAGAATTTCTTTCGAATCCATCATACCCATTTGTATGCTACCAAGTACCGGGTAAAACAAGCAGACATCAGCATGATGAAGGAGCCACATTCGGAGCAGGTTGAGTGCCCAGGAGTAGAGGAGCAGCAGCAGCAGCAGCAGCAGCAGGAGCATCGGCAGCTGCAAATGGTTCACTTTGTTTGGCTTGCTCTGGTTTTGGCTCTGACGCTGGGTTCTGGTTTCATTTTTGCCTTTTTGCCTTTTTTGGTTTCGCTTCGCTTCGTTTCGTACGGGCAACAATGATTGCAATTTGCAAAAAGCGAAAATGCATTTGAAGTGCATGCGTGGGAGGCGGGGCTGTGTGGGAAATTGGTAAAAAAAAAAAAACCCCCACAGCAAGATAATACATTTAAATGTGCCAGAGCATTTCGCGGTTCTTTCACTGCCGTGGCATGAACTCAAGCTGCAAGCTGCAAGCGGACATGCTTCCAAATTAAGCTCCCATCAGTCTCTATCTCCCGCGCTCTCGCTCTCTTTGGGGTAAATCCTTTTCCATATGTATGAGACTGCCTGAGGTTAACCCCCTCTCATTAGCCACTGTTCATGGCAGTAACCCCCAGGGGTGCTATTTAGCTTTTCTAACATTTATTCGGTGCTCATATTTTTGTAAGAATTAACGCGAAATGCAGAAAATGTTTCAGTTTAGAACTTTATCTACTGCTCTTTTGTCTGTAAATTGAATTCAGCTTGAAATTACTCATTTAATTCCATAATCGCTGGAAAGCTTACACTCATTATTTGTTAGGAAAAAATTAACTGCAAAAATTTATATTTTTACCTAAAAGTTATTAAAATAAAGTGCAATATTATATCTCGATTTTCATGGAAAGTTTTAAGCCTTTGAGGCATTTAATTTTGTACTTTTTGATACGTTTCCTTAAGACAAATAATCCAGCAGTTAATTCTCAAATATACAGAGAATTATGGAGCATCAATATATCGCAATAATAGCCCAGCTTTCCCTTTTTTAGATCCCTTTCATCATTACAAGTATCTTCAGGGGGATATTCTTTAAATGTATCATCCAATAACTCCCTCTCTAAATCCAAAAACTGCCTCTAATACAGTGTGGCATAGCGAAATGTGATCCATTCATATGCATATTCCATGTCACCATACTACTTCTAGTTTTCCACTTTGTTGCACCTCTTCAGCCAATGTTGGTTAACCGATTCGTTACGTTTATTCCCCTAAAGCCGAATGCGGTTATCCAGACATGTCTCTGCACCTCCCCACCACCTACCGAAACCCCCACCCCTTAACCAACACCACTCTGGAATTGTCTATTCCCCAGTCTAGCATTCTCTCTCTATCTATTCTCTATCTTTATTCGTTTAATTTCGAATGCTGTGCAAATATAAAAGTCGCAAAAAGTTTTTGTGCATTTCCACGTTGTTATGGCTGTGTGCAGTGTGACAATTGGTGCAGCTCCCTGTCCCTGTCTCTGTCTCTGTCTCTTCCACTCACTGTCTCTGTCTCTCTATCTGTCTGTGTGGTGGGGCGGACTCCCCTTATGCTTTCTGCTCTCTAAGCCTTATCGGCTGCCACACCATAGACGTAATTGCGTCTGTACTGTACTGCCTGAAAACTAAGCAAAAACTATGCAATGTTCCTGTTTCCTGCTCCTGCTCCTGTTCCTGCTCCTGCTACTGTCTAAAGTGTGGGCCGTTCGCATGGGGTTTTTGTGGGCTCTGGGCTGGTCTAGCTCTGATAGCCACGCCTCAATGGTCAATGTTGGGATTTCAGTTTTCAACCAATTTCTGTTTGTTGTCTTTGCTGATGCTGATGATGTTGTTGATGCCGTTGTTGCTGCTGCTGTCCTTTATTAAACGTTCGCCGACGTGTGATGAACCATCCATCCCATGCACACTCTCTCTCTCTCTCTCTCTCTGATCTGTCTGCCTTGTTGCCATCTCTTTCTGCTCGTTGGCGGTCTGCGGATTCCCTTTCTCATTTTCTATGGCGGTCTGTCTGGCCGCTGACTGATATCCGCTAGCCTTTGAACGGTTTATATTCCCGACTGTTGTCCCTGTTTGCTGGCTGGCTGGCTGCCTGCCTGGCTGCTGGTTCGTTGTCGCTATTGTGGTTTTTTTTTTGGGGAATTTTTGCATACAATTTGTATACCCTTTTTGGTGGTTTTGACAAAGTTGGGCCAAATAGATAAAAATAAAATAAAACTCGTAAAATGTGCATTTCCATTTGGAAATTGTCAAAACTTTGATGAATACAAAAAAAGGTTTTGCGGTATAGAAATATTTAGAAAAAGTGTTTCAACATTTGAAGCAGCTGAAACCATCACAGCAAAAGCGTATAAACATTATTATTTTAACCACAAATAACGTTGCCTTTTGGGATTTTTAAATATGTTTCAATTGTTTTGTTTTAATGGGAAGAGGCTAAAGAAGAAGCTTTGAATAATCGCTTAGAAATATATATTTCAACATGCTTAAAGCCTACCTAATATTTTTAATATAAAAACAAACCCAAATAGGGCATAAAATAGTTAATAGTAAAATAGTGGGGAAGCAACTGAAAATTAATTTCGTCATTCTGGCTATAATTATGATCCGATCTGATTCAGATTCGGCAGTCTGGTAGATATGGGCATTCTCTACTATACTGCGTTTTTAGTTTTATCGTATCTTTAAAATTGTGGCTGCCACAGATTTTCGTCTTTTGTGGGGGCGGAAGGGGGCGGGGCGAAATTTTGAAATACACTTGTAGCAGTGTGATATCACATGAGTCTGGAAACCAAATTTGGTTGCCCTAGCTCTTATAGTCTCTGAGATCTAGGCGCTCAACAAGACGGACAGACAGACAGACAGACAGACAGACAGACGGACAGACAGACGGACAGACGGACAGACAGACATGGCTATATCGACTCGGCTATTGATGCTGATCAAGAATATATATACTTTATGGGGTCGGAAACGTTTCCTTCTCTGCGTTACACACATCCACTTTTACCACAAATCTAATATACCCCTTAACTCTTTTTTGAGTACGGGTATAAAAATATTAAATGGGTGATAAATCTCCTTAAATTGCGGCTTTTAAGATTTTCAACTGCAATCAAAGGGGGGATAAAAACCCGCAAAATTAATGATCCTGTCTGCACACTTACACACATAAAAACTTGTTATCTTTTTTGGCACAACAACAACAAAAAAGTACTCAAAAATGTCACTCAAAATATGTTGCAGGAAAAGATCTTCAAAAGTTGATTTCCCTTATTTGCACGCAACAAAAATGCCCTAACTATTATCCACCCCCCCCCTCCCTTGTCAAACAAAAGCCATAATGAACTACTGTTTGGGCGCACAGGACACACACTTAATGGAATTATTTTGCATTTTGGGCCAAGCGGAATGGGGAGCTGCCTGCCTGCCTGCCTGCCTGCCAGACTCTTCCTGTGATCGGATCCCTGGTCAGTAGTTGGCCTGTCACATTCAATGGGGCACCGCAAGGGGCAGACCCCAAAGCCAATTCCAGACCCAGATCCTGTTCCATCTTTCAGAGCGTATACCGATAGACCCCACCCACCCACACACACACACATCAGAATCCTGGTTGGTCTGTCTTCCCTTCCATTTCGCTTGTTTTAAAAACAAGCCAATTATTTGTGAAAACTTTCACAGAGAGCGCAAGAGCGAAAGGGTCTGGGGGGATCCACACAGCAGAGAAATGTCCCTCATATGGAGAGTATATTGCATGTACATATATCCCCTAGCCCTCAGCCTCAGCGTGGTTTTAAGTGGCTTTTACCAGGAGTAAGAGAGAGAGGAGTGCGTGTGGGTGTAAGGTGTTGTTTATTGTATGTATGTTTTGTTTTCTATCAAGCTTTTGTGGCCCATCATCAGCTGCCATACACTTTATAGATGACTGATAAATAAACTACAAGCCACACATATGCAATAAAAACAACCATCAGATATGTCACATCATATGTACATACATATATATGTATGTATGTATGTATATAAAATCGGTAAAGCAATGAAGCTGCAGCAGGTCCAGCAGGAAGTATAGGTTTGGTCATCAGACGGTACGGGTTGGTGGTTGGGGGGCGGAGAAATATGAGAGAGAGAGAAAAAGCCATAATTGCATTTATTATGCTGATAAAAGCAGAGACACTAGCAGCCAAACAGAGCGGAAAGAGAGAAAGGCAGGGTAGGAGCAGGGCGCCCCGGGGAAAGAGAGAGTTGGTCAGAGGCAGGAGGCAGCAGGCAGCAGGCGGGACACTCACAGTGCAGCCAGGCTAAAGGATAACCAACGCAATTGTCAGACACAACACTACGAGTGTCCATGTGTGCTGCTCTATCTGCTGCTGTGTGTGTGTTTGTCTGTATGTGTGTGTGTTTGTGTGTGTTCTGTCAGCCATTTTGTGGATGCTGCACTGAAAAGGAGCCACAGCGTATGCTCCTACACTGTTGCTGTTGCCGTTGCTGCTGCTGCTGCTGCTCCTGCTGCTCCTCTCTGGCAGCTCCTGCTGTTGCTGTTTTTGTTTGCAAATAAATTTAATAACGACGAATAATGCCACTAAAAATAATTCACACAAACACACACAGACATAAAGGGGGGGTGGGGAAAGAGGGAAAGCAGCTTGGGACAAGCAATATGGAGCACCACCAGAGAGACAACAAAAAAAATTTAATTATTGAGTGCAGCCAGCCACATACTGATATAAATATATAAAAGCCAAAGGACAAAGGACTCTCACCACCGGGGTACAGAGTTAATTATTGCAGGGGGGTGGGGGGTCATGATCCCGGTTAAAAAGCATTTGCAACAAAAGGACCGCCCCACGCCCCATGCCAATGCAACCACAGAACAGAAAACTCACCTTAAACACCGCCGAAGTGAAGAATACGGGCAGCAGAATGAATACCACGCCAGAGAGCACTATCTGTAGATTCAATTCCGCCACGGGCTCAATTTTCCAGGGTATCAGAGAGCAGCCTAGCGAAAGGGAAGAAAAAGAAATTGTTAAAAAAAAACTGCACAAGAAATGTAGAAATATTCTACTAGGAGTACTTTTTGCATTAAACTCTGGATTAATACTGCATAGCAACTACAATTTTATGGTTGGCAGATCTACCAGAATTATACACCTACGAAATACTCCCAAAATTATTATATTCAAACTATTTTGTCAATCAGATTTATGAAAAATATTCAAAAGTTCCCTTGGGCTTTCGTTATTGTTTCCTGATATATGTGGCTTTACTTTGCTTTATTTTTTGTACCATTACGAAAGAGTTGGCGCCTCTTTATATTTAAGTCCAACTAGTTTATGCTCGTAAAATTGTGAGAGGTATACCAAAGGTTCTAAAACATAGATATCAAATAAATTCGCACCAAAAATATTCCCTATACCCCTGGCATAGAAAACTCCTTAAGCTTTAGCTGTAAAATGAATTCCACATACAAAATAGAAATAACCAAATGCCTTGCTTCTTATTAAAACCATCATAAATCATATATATGAAATATAGTTAACCACAAACTGTGTATAACAAAATGCATACAAAATCCACCTAATGTGGCAATCGTGTGTTGCAGCAGCAGCAAACGCAAAACACAGAAAGGCAATGGAAAATTTATTTAGTGTACTGCTGCTGCCTGCCGCCTGCTGCTGAGGAAAATACTCACCCAAGAACCTGTAGGCGCCGTGCATGGCCAAATAACCCTGGAAGAGGGTGAGTAGGACACCGTACCAGATCGACCAGAGCGAATTCAGATGCAGATAGCTGCCAGAGTCGTGACCAGAATGCTGCAGATTGGTGTAGCGACTCTGGTGGCGCTTCGATTTGATGTACTTGGCCTGCAGCTGCTGCTGCTGCTGGGTGAGGCTGCTGCTGGTGGCTGTTGTGGCATTGGTGAGCACCGAATTGCACATGCTCGAGTTGAGACTGCCACCGTTGCCACCGCCGCCTCCTCCAGCGGATGCTGTTCCTCCTGTTCCGCCCGAGCCAGCACCATGATGATGATGCTTGCCACCCATTTTCACTCTATATGTGTGGGAAATTCCTTTGTTTGTCTTTCACTCCTTTCAGCGCGACACACACACACACACACTCTTTTGTTGTATATATTCCCAGTGCGTTTTTGCTCCTCGGGTTGTTGTTATTCTGGTCTCTCCACGCGACAACGAATAATGTTGACAATCAATTTCTGTCTGTCTGTCTGTCTGTCTGTCTGTCTCTATCTTCTATATATGCATGTAGACCTTCTCACGTATTTGTATTGATTTCGTATTGATTTTGCTCGTTGATTTTCTATTTACTCAAGAGCTGCTTTTCCTGATGATAATTTTCCTGCTGCCGTTGCTGTTGCTGCTGCTCATTGTTTTGGCCCACTCACTCCCCTGTCGGCTGTTCTGTCGCGGATAATATTTGCACGCTGATATGGCTCATTATAGCATCGTCCGACGATTCTGATTCTGTTTGCTGGCGCATATTTGTGGAAACTCACAACTGTGCACAGTTTTCCACCTCCTACCGCCTAGCCTTGATTGCCACTGATTCGATGATGCGACGACTGCAATGACATAGAGAAAATGTGGAAACGTGTGAATTGGTTGGTGGGTGCACAAATAAATAATGGCAAATGTATACGGTACATATTTCGGGGGGGAAACAACAAATAAAAAGCAATTCAGAGGATTTTGATACTTATTTATACCCTATCTATATATTAGGAAAAATATTAGGAAATGACAGAAATATTATGGGAAAAATGATTCTTAGATTGCACCTATTATTGTATAAAGATAAGGCTTACAATTAATTGGAAATATTTGAAATAAAACAATAACTAATTAATATGTGATATGAGAACAGAATACTGATACGAATGGGCAGCGTAAGTTGGCCTAGAATTCGGCTGTTAGGCCGTATTAAAAAATATAAATAAATTAACAGAATTTTATGGCAGTCGCTCGACGGTAGACCCGCAATAGTTCTATTGCAGATCTTTAGGAACAGGCGCTTGGCCGACATATTCGCCAGCTGATGTATATCCCACCCACCCTATCCCTAGTGCCGAGTTCGTTCAGATGGCGCTCCTTCCAACTTCTCAACGCTGAGCAAATCCAAGCAGCAGAAATGAAGCAGTGCCGCCATTACACGCCATGCCACACCCTGCTGGCATCCATTTCCTTTCATCGCAACTATGTATGTATGTACATAAATATGTACATATGTATGTAACTCTTATCACAACTTAGCGGAACTTTCTATGTAATTTTTTACTGTGTGTTTACCGTTATAATAAACGTAACGTAAACGTAACAATAATCTTGAATTTACATGTCTAGCAGCCTTCATGGACATACAGCCGAATATGCTCTGTAATCTCTGTGGCACTCGGTAATCAGTTTGTTCGATCACTTGGGCAGCATGATCTCAGTTATGTTTCATTCCTTCATTCTCCCTACACGCGCCGAACGACACGGCATTTGATGCTCTGCTGGAGCGACCGAGAGAGAGAGAGAGGGGAGGAGAGCGAGCAATACAACAACAAAACATGTTGTGTGTCGGTTGCTGCTTTGCATTTCTCGCTGCATAAAATATTACGCAGCAGGCAGGCCGGTACACAAATTGCAAGAACAGTTTTTCAGAGTTTTGCTGTCTCCGCCTCTTCGGCTAGTCCTAATCGGGAACATGCACAGACTTGCAAGGCAGCGCTCCATTTGGTGTGAGGTGTGATTGTGGGTATTTCTACAAAAATACAACAATGCATACATACATTTGTACACTCACTCGCATATCTCTGCGTACACACCCAATAAATTTAAAAAATTAAAATCAAACTTTAAGCACAAATTCATCAGCCATTTAAGCATTCAATATATTAAACTCATTCTTTTTTTAAACCTAACTATAATTTATTGTCTTCAATGACATATGTACATATTTTAGTCAGCAATATTCAACTATGGGCTATATTTTACTTTATAATTTGAAACTTAACACTACGAAAAAGTGTACATGCAAAATTCTGTGTGCAGCTGTTTGAAACTGTGTGGAATGCTAGATTGTGCGAATACCGTTAGGATTTTTGGCGACGATCTTTGTATGTATGCAAGTCCAATCAGTATTTAATGCTGGCTTTTTTTTATGTGCAGAGCATTGCAAACGAATTTCTGTAGCGGTTTACTAAGAATACGGTCGACTTTAGTATGAACATTTTTCAGTAGAAAAAATATAATCCCACAGTTCTCAAAATATCCTACCGATAATAGTCACTCTTCTGCGAGTATTTTTACTACGTTTTTTAACTACATTAATTATCATTTAATCAACAATTTGCACGCTTCATACACCCTTTCTGCATACGGTCCATTTGCAGGGTATAATCCGATCATTAAATACTCACACAATTAAAACAAATCCCCTTCTAAGCCGACAACTACAAAACATACATACATATGTATTTCCCTGTGTTTATTTGTGCGAATTAAATATTAGATTATATAATTAGGGAGGCAGACGACAATTATGTATCAATCTGTAGAGCGCTTTAAAAATTCATCAGAATTTCACAACACACTTAAACACATGAATTATTTAATGGCGATGAACGGAAATCCAAGCCGTATTTTAATTAGTCAATGGAGTGGCAGAGGAGACGCAGACACAGACACAGACTGTGGCGGAGGCAGGGACTGGCCTGGCCTGGCCTGGTCAATGGCCAAATTGACGCGTTAAATTGGCAACAATTTAAACAAGATTACAACTGGCAAATGGATGAGAATTGGGTATCGGGGATTGGGGATGGGGCGCATGTAAACTATAAATCAATCCTCAGGGGCAGTACAGGAAGTGGAAGCTGTAAGCGGACTACAGGAGGCGGAGGACTGCCGCCATGCGGTGTCTGTAAACCAATTTGGCACATGGGAGTTCCAGAGTTGTCACAGTCTGCTCTGCGACTGCCAGGGTTGCCTTTGGGTGTTGCAGTGTTGCGCTTGGGTGTTGCTGCTGCTGCTGTTGCTGCTGTTGGGTGTTGCTTTTGGGTGTTTGCCGCGCTGTCGCATAATTAAGGCAACGTCGCGTGGCAGACAGGAAGGGGAGGAAAGAGTGGCGTGGCGTGGCGTGGCAGACAGACAGAAAAGGAGAAGCCTCCAGGGAGGAGGGTCTTTGTCTGGGGCCCTTGTTTAATGCGTTGCGCCTCGAGTTCTGCCACATTGGAGGCAACATAATTATAGGCCATAGACACACACACACACATCCGACAGAGAGCAAAAGGAGCGTATGTGTGTGTGCGTGTGTTTGTGTGGCAGGTAAACTATTTGCAGCTTTGCGTGTTGCAGTGTTGCAACAAAACATGTGTAGCGGAACCGTTAACACTGATGCGGCGGCAGCAGCGGCAGCGGCGACTTCCTTTCAACAAAATGTTGCGTTTTGTTCAACATCACCGCAAAGAGAGAAAGAGAGAAAGTGTGAGTGTGAAAGAGAGAGAGAGAGAGAGAGAGAGGGAGATGGAATGGGGGTTTATGTTGCCCCAAAAGGGAAACGCAATTTTCTTGCCTCTCTTTATAGCATTTGGTCGGTACCCACTTCCTCCTCCCCCCCTTCTGTTTTGTTATGCAAAAATAATAAAATGTTTGCAATTTGTTCGAGTCCCCTACGTAGTCCCCTATTTGTAATTAAAAAGTGTTGCACAGAGCGAAAGAGACATAGAGAGAGAGAGAGAGAGTGAGAGCGCTAACAAATGTGCAACCATGTTGCATGCACTTTTTTTTTGCACTTCTTTTGGCCCAGTAATGGACACGATTTAATTGATAATTGCTGTTGTTGTGCGAATGAATTGTAATACATTCCAGTGGTGAACGGGCGGCATGTCAATGGCCCGACGACAAAAGGGGGAATGCAAATGGAAATGGATTCAGCATCCGAATCCGAATCAGGCAGTGGATGTCACTTAACTCGAATGTCCTTCATATGCCATGGAAATGGCATACTATTGATGATTATAATATGCATTTAGGAGCAGAATGTGAGCAGCTTGGAATGTTTAATAGTTGTGTGCGAAATACAGTTTGGAGCGCAATCCAATTGGAATAAATTGTTTGATTCTTAAAGGTATGTATGTAAATTCTCAATCATTAATAAATCAATTAGAGAACGGTTATGAATTGGTTTTGAATCGGTTTAAAAATGCTTAAGGATCAGCTACGAATCGATTACAAATCGGCTACAAAAATAGGCTATAGCCAGTTCACATTTGTTATTGTTTAGCAGCAGCTTTAAGTCTATTTTTATGTTAGTTAGAAATTAGTTTAAAATATTTAAAACCACTTTTTAAGCTGCTAGCTAAATCGTTTACGAATTACATAATGAAAATAAATTTATAAAATTCCATTTTACTATCTATCTACCTCTTTAAATGGACTTTCAAAATCCGTTTTGCAACACTGAAAATACTTTAAGGTCAGAAAACGAAGCTATTTTGAAAGGTTTGTCTGCCAAAAAGCATTTGCTGGTAAATAACTTGCTGCATGCCAAAGTTCCAGCATAGAAATTCCAACACAATTTTGAGGTGTCAAATTGGGGCAGTGACATCTGCCATAAGCCGACAGGCACTTGTCAAGACAGCGCACTCGGACAAACTGTTACCAAATTCAGAGACACAGAGATGCAGAGACACAGAGATGCAGAGACACAGAGACTTCCGAGGCAAGAAACAATCAACAGAATTGTAGTCGAGAGCAGCAAAATCCAGGAAGACCTTATCCTATCAGAGCAGCAGCTTTCCCTCCCCCCGTTTCTGCAGTGCCACAGCACCAGCATGGGGCATGGGCTAAGACCTGTTCCGTGTTGCTGCTGCTGCTGCCAGGAGCTACTCACATGTTGATATTAATTTTATGTTAATTACAATCTTCACCAGCTTTGTTTCACTGTCTGCCCCCCCCCCATCCCCCCCCCCCCACCACCTCAGTAGCTGAAGCATTTTCTTCATCTCGTATGCCCTTCTGTTTCATGTTTGTGTTTGCCCGGTGTTTCCCCTCTTCCGCTGACAACCATAGTGGCCATGTGGTTGGGGTCGCTCCTTACTTAGTTCATCTCCCAAGGAAATGAAGGGTGGTTAATGTGCCTTTCCCCTTGGACTGCTGCCACTGCTACTGGTATTGCTCCGAGGGTTTCCTTCCTCCTTCCTCCTTTGCCTTTGCCTTGACGCATACTCAACATCAGATTAGCCAGCCGCAAAAGTCATAAATGCAGATGTTTACATTTATTTTGTGCTCCTCCTGCTGCCTTGGGGGCATTTGCTTTGTCTTACAGTTGGATTCCAAGAGATCCCACAACCAGGACTTTTTTGTTTCATGTCCTTGGGGCAATTTGTCGCGTTCGCACGACTTTTACGCAAATGAAACAGCCACTTTATGGCTGCCTGCCATTCCGTGTGTGTGTGTGTGTGTGTGTGTGTCGTCGTCTCCATAGAATTTTCTTTTGCGAGTCATGGCGTAAAATTAAAATGCTTTCCCCACTTTCCCCAATGCCGCTCTGCCATTCTCCCTGCTGCTAATGCAAATTAAA